TTCACCAAGGGAACAATTGGTCAATAATACACCGCGAGGATGAAATCAAGATCTCTGCACGGGGTTCCACTATTCCAAGGCAGCACTGAAACAGTCTTCTGATTCAAATTTTTTTGAATAATTAGGCACGAAAATTTCCGAAGCCGAAAATCAATATGATATCAAGAGACCAACGCTGTTGGTTTGCCCACTACAAACCATTTTCTTTTATGGACGGCGTTCTTTGTCTTATGCGTGATGGTATAAAGTTAAAAATGAATGGATTTTCCATGTTCATCGTATGACAATAGTTTTGCGAATTATTTCCCTGAAAATTTGTCAGTGAAACTTTATGGTCAAACAGAATGTTCTAAATGCACAAAGTTAAAACTTTTGCTATTCTTTACACGCGCTGAATATTACTCTGTAGTGTTAATTGAGTGAAATCAGGGCGATTAAATTCAATGGAAATTGCTAAGTCGATATTTTTCATTTGTTGTGAAAATTACTGTGGAAAGTTATGATGAAATGTAAAGCATTGTTATAAATAGCGCATCATTTTGTGAGATGTTTCAAAAATTTGCGAAAATTTCAATGTATTTTCCACAACCCGCGTGTATATGGGAAACATTAGGAATTTTCGGTGATCAGAGACAAAAGCTCGTCTCCCTAGCTTAACTTCATTTATAATTTGCAAACTTTCTTTTGATTCCCTTCATGAATACATCGTTTTCCACAATTGACTACAATGCATTAACATGTGGAGCGCTCAAAATTCATAGAATGCGTGCTAATTAAATCATATTTGCGAGATATAGAAAAAGTTTGGCTATAGACAATCGTTCTCTGGGATGAAAAGGTTTACGCTTCTAATGCCAGATAATAAAATGAGTGGAATGTTGGAAATAGTTCCTCAACAGACAACTTTTCCGTACGTTTTAATACGCATTGTCACTTTGATGTGCTCATTAATTCCATACGAATTGCTCTGTGAATTCCTTTGGGAAAATGAATAAGTGGAATGTCATTTCGGTTGCAAAATCAAAGAACCAAGTAAAATTGAGCAGATGGAACTTTTCATATTGTAGTATTTTTCCTTCTCTGATTGGATTAGCGTGTATCGCGATTTTCAGCGCTGCGGAAAATGTGTTCCTCATATAAATGTCACAAAATGAAGAAACTTGCAAGGTAAAAATGTAAAATGTAAAAATGTATAATTGACTGGCTCAAACCTGTGCAGACGCTCCTCGATCCCTCTATCGTACCTGTATATATTATTCTATATGGGCCAACCATCTATCTTGCTTGGGAAAAAGAAAAACACCGTATAACATATTACAAATGATCCATAAAGTTTTCATTTCGTGGCATTTACAGCAATTACATTGCATGCAAAAGAAAACGGGAGAGAAATGAGACTTCCCATATATTTTTGAATATCATTTCTCTCTGCGATTTTGCCTTTGGAAATTGTTTTTCATTCATTTTTCATCGTCATCAGGAGTGTAGAGAAATGATGTCAGTATGAAAAGAAATAATTTTTATGTTCTATTTCTCACCAATTTCTTTTTTTTCGGTCTCTCTCTTGCTCCCTTGGGCTTTTTCGTATGAATTCAAATATCGATTCACACTCAGAATACTTCACTCATATATAGAGTGAGGCAGTAAAGTCTTAAGGGGCGAATCACTTTGCAAATAGAACAGATTTGGGGGAAGCAGAGTATGGCGAAAAAGAATTGGGGTAAGTGGAGGTAATTTAGCATGAAAATCAGTAATTTTAAAGACTTTTTCAAGACAATGTCAAGAATTGTTTCGAGAAAATCACAAGCAATTTACTAGTAGTTATATATAATTTAGACGTTGCTGAGCATAGAATTGCTCCTCCATTGAATTGCGGTTCTGAGAAAATATGTTGCTGATTAAATTTACTTCTGGATTCCCTTCTGGGGAACTTGTTCGAATATCAATTGTCGGAACCAATAGTGCATGAGCTATTCGCCCCTCGGGTGTATGAAAATTTGTGTATTGTACCACAAATTGACATTAGGGAAGTGCGGAACAGTTTACAAGCAATATTTCAACTTTCTATTAATATTATTTATATAGACAAATTGAAGTTCGACACAAAAGTAATTTTTTATACTGCGTTTTGTATAAAATCATCAACTAACAATATAGCATATAAACTACCCTTTCTTCCCCTATTGGAATGTGTGCTATATCGTATATGACAAGAAAAAAAGAATATGAAAATTGTCCCTAGAAAGGATCCTTTTCTTGTTATATTTTTGCTGAAATCAAACTTGTGAATTTCATCAGAGTTTTCCCGACATGTTTAATTGAATAAAATATTCCCCCCTTTTATGGTATGGAAAAGGTGGAAGAAGATTTGATGGTTTCTTAATTTGTTTTCTTTTTTGATATGTTTTTCGCATGTTTCGTATTATTTCTTTTACCAATAATATACTGACGATATTCCTGACATTTCTTTTCATATTTCACACAAGAAAAGGTTTCTTCACAGTCAGTTAACTCAGGATTTCTATGAGATTTCATGGGTTCAAAATTGCATTCTTACAGGAAGACTACACATTGAAACTTCTTAAATTTAACATCAAAGACATCAAATGAAGCTACTACATTCAGACCAATTAGAATTTTCCTTTCGTCATTCTCAGACAATTTTGGTGCGTGTTACGCAATTTTTAAAATTATTACACACATAATTTTTCATTTCCCCGCTCACATAACACTTTCACTTTTTCAACTTCCGATCGATAACATTTATTTCGCAACTCCTTTAGTCCCTGTTCACATCATTATTAAATCACATGCCAAGACCAACACATGCAATGGACAAATTAAACACCCAGCAAAGGAAAACATTTCATTCTTACAACCCCTCAAAGGCTCTTCTCTCCTCACAGACAAACTAATGGAAATACAGCGCTTTACGTGACTAACGCAATACGCAATTTCCCTTCGTCAGAACACTAGCTATGATGCTCAACGAGCGACTGCCAACAACCAACTGTTGAAAAATTGAAGCTACACTGACTATAAAAGGGGCAAAAGGTGTTTGATTTGAGTCCTGTCACAGTCACTTGTGAACATGCGCGCGAAAAGGGGAAAATCGTGCTTGGGGAAATGATTGGGTTGTCAATGACAAAGAAAATTAATTTCATCGAGACATTGTGGGATGAGATCAAAATCATATTGATGATTCCAGAATAATTCCATTTGAGTCGTAATAATGTGTGGATTTCAAAATGAGTTTAGAGTTAATTAATTAACGGAAAACATTGTTATTCTGCATTGTGCACTGAGAAAAATAAGCGTTGTTATTTCAACAAATTCTCAATATAACTTCTCAAATAATGTATTAAACAGAGTCCCAATTGGAGTTGTATTTTTTTTTTAACTTTGTACAACATTATTTCTCCTAATTTTTCCGTAAAATGAACTAGTGTCAAAAACAAAGTAGAAGTTGGTTTTTTTTATGATAGGATAATTAAATAAATCAATTTCATGGCAAACTGTAGCGTCACTAATGCCTTTGTCGTGGCACTTTCGCCGCGACTATCTTTTGACACAGCATGAAAGGAGTTAAAAGAACTAGTCGTGGCTCTGTCATTCAACTCTAAATTGGTTGATTGTGATATTTAGTAGCTTTGACTAGTCTTTACGATTTCGTGAGCGAAATCAGCGTCGCAGTATAATCGAGCATTGTCAATTGGGTGTGTTTCATCAGCAAATATGTAAATGGTAAAATAAAAACCAGTCAAATTGGAATATTTTCCCTTTGAAATTGTATAACTCATTGCATTGGAATTAATAATAATAGTATACATTTTACGTCACCCCGTCCTAACGAATTTTTCAGGTTGTCAGGATCCAAATTCAACATCATTAATTCTATTTTTGAACGCAAGTTTGAACGCCTGTTGATATGGTGCCGTATTTCAATGCTTTGATTAAAAATTTCCCAGAAGTGTTGGTTTGAACGAAATGATCAAAGAAAATAGTGTTGCATTGTTTGTTGAATGTCAAAACCAACAGTCCACAAAATGAATATTACAATAATTGTGTTAATTAAACTTCTGTAGCGTAAAAAATTGCTCAGTTTATATACAAAGAATTTTGGATATAATTGCGTTTTGTTAGACACACTTTGAATGCATAATAAATGTATGAATATTATTTGTGTAATGTACATTTTCTTTCATTCGATAGTGCAAAATCTCTCATATCCCTTTCCATATTGCAGATATCTGACATATAGAGTGGAGTGTATATGTTTGGCTTGCATCTTTCTTGCCCTGTATAATACGAAAGTGCCAGTATCGAGAGATGAAAGGGAATCAACAACACTCAGAGCTTTGAGCCATTTGCATCGTGGATATGGAGAAATGAGATTACATAATGCGAGAGAAAGAATATTGAATGCATTTTCCCACATTTTACTCAGAATGAAAGTTCGCATCTCGAGTGCATTGTGAATTTATCCGTTTACCTTCCACTCGCTTTTCAACGGATTACCTTAGCTATAGTTTAATCAAGGATTCATATCAAATGAACTCTCTAAATTTTCGCTCGGAAAAGCTCTCTATATTCTTATTGAATTGATCAAACAGAAGTGTGAACTTCATTTTCTTTTAGGGAATATTGAATTTCCTATAGCGCACAGCGGTTTAGCTCCTCAAAATGCATTCGTCTTTCTTAAACCCTCTCTAATGATATTTACTTTCTTGAATTCTGGCTTCTCCGAATAATCTTGTATCAGATTGAGTTGCACTGTGAAAATGAATGCACGAGGAAGGAAATTGAAATTTTTGCAATTTTGTTACGGCTCAATAAATGGCTTTCAGGCGTTTAAAATGATGTCAAACAGGCAATCACATCCAATCATTGCGTGTAAAAATTCTCTAAATAAAATCTGTTCAAAATTGATTCACTGCAAAGACCAAAAGGGAAATGTAATTTCTAGTTTGACTGGCTTTTGCGAAAAATCAATCACTTACACGGAGATGTGATAAATAATGCATTTCCACCCTGAAGGGCGTTCCAGGAAGTTGTACACCTGCCCTCTGAATGTTGTTCTTCCGGCGTGTCTCCTCTGCGCCTTCACGTAGCTCCTTGTTGTCTCGCCCCAGTCGTGTGGACCGCGATCCATTGACAACTGAATTGAGCCGGTGCCTTCGGAAGGAGAGTAAATAAATAATTAGCAGCGAAATGAAAGGGAGGAGGAGTAATTTACCTGAGTTGGCGAAATTTGTCAGAGAGGTCAGTTCGGTGAAGGGCGACGTCGCCGAGGAGGAGAGCCTCTTCTGGCGCAGATTCGCCCCACACGCCACTGGCACGTCTAAATCCGCCTTCGCCCGGGCACCTCCGTTCTTGTCCGTGCTCTGGTGCGCCTCCTCAATTGTGACGGTGGGCGAGAGGAACTTGCCATGGGAGCCATTCCCTCCGGGCCCCGTCGGCTTCTGATAGTGATCCGCGTGTGTCAGCAGAGTTTCCGACTCGTCCAAGCACAGCACTTCCGTTGGCGTCACACTGGGACTCCGGGGAATGTAGCTCATTCGCGGTGGCTTCTTCTCCACCCCAATTTTCCTCTTTGCCATTTTACCTGGGCCGTCGAAATGCCAAATATTAAGAAATGCTCTTTCACTACTCCACTTTCAGCCGTCGGCCGCTTCTTAAATGCCATAATTGTGTCAACATGTCGCCTGCAATCAAGATAGATCATATTTCCAGGATTAGCGACAATTCGCATAGTGACAGAGCAAATGTTAAATGGACTTTTTCCCATCTACAATGTATAATGCTAATGAAAAGTTCCCTTCACTCGCCCTCGGACGGCATTCGAAAGTGCGGGAGAGGCTAAAAAAGGGCGTCCAACATGTTATTACAACCACTGACAGAGCGATAAATCCTTTTCAACCGCCGAAGCACATATTTCATAAAATTCTCGACATTCTTCTCCATACTCAGAGTTATTTTGCGACTTCCTCTTCCACGAAATCACTGTATATATCGGCGATGGTTCAAGGAACTTCTTAGTCAGAGAGCTTTACACTTGACATGAAAACCCTAAAAAAAACTGTAAAATGTATGGAATTTCTCATCACATCACTAAAGTGAAACTTTGTACTTGCTGAGTTTTATTTCGAGCATTTCCCATCCATTATTTGAGCGATTTTGCACATTTTCACCTCAAATGGTAAATAATGTAGCGATTTTCTCTTGCATTTCTGCCATGATCAACAGTTTACGGGCATATGAGCAAATATTTGTTGAAAACTCATATTTTGGTCGATAAAATATTTTACAAAAGGGACAAAATAATGAATGGTCGTTAATAATAAAGTTTCTCCATAATTAATTGTTGCTTGTTAGCTTTGTCACACAATATTTCATATCAATTTATACAGAACAAAAATATTTCACATCTTTGACTTGCGTAGACAAAATGTTCAATTTACCTTCAGCGCAATTTTTTGCAGACATTTGCATATCTCCCATCTAGAAACGTGTTATGTACGTACATAGCAAAATCTGAGATGTAACACTTTTGATATAATGGGATTAGTGTGAAAATGCGTAGGAATAGAGAAAAAGAGAGCGAGATTTTTGTCATATGATGGAATAAATGCGACTAAACATAAGAATATCTGACATAATCTATCAGATTCCATTGATAAAGCACTCGAGATTAGGAAACATGTTGACAAAAATTGTATGTATTTACACAAATAGTCTTTGTCAGGAAGTCCGACGCTTTAGTGAATTCCTTTCCGCGACACTTTTCGTGGAAACTGTATGTAAGCGTTAATGTTCTGCATTAACCTGACATCGAGTTGGGCATTAAGAATGGCATTATGAATGACACGAAATAATGACACTTAATTTTATCAGATCAGAGCAACAGACTCTGTTTAGCGACAAGATTGAAGATATGATCGTCCTAATAAATAAACGAACACAGATAGGATATATTTTCATGTATTATGAACATTCTTTCGGCATCTTTCAAATGTGATTCACTTTGAAGCTTTCATTCCAATTGGATTCATTCAACCACTTAGTTATTTGAAATGTTCTGGTGTTTCATGGGGATGCATTTAGCAGAAAATCCTGAGAATCTTTACAGATAAATCATCACGCATTCACTGATTGGATGTTCTGGGATTCGTGAATTTATTTCTCCTTAGCTAGCAACTAAAGGGTTAAACCATTTTCTGTGCATAGAAAGGGTCTTTCTCTGTCTTATTGGTACGCACTATTCGTCACTGTTCTGCCACCTCCATCACCATTAAGCATTACATAAGAATGGTCTCAAATGTGAAGAAATATTGTGTAATAAAACACCCGAAGCCAGTAAGTAATCCCCCTTTGGCTGCTCTTTGTTCACCACTATCGATTAGTTTGGAAGGAGGCGCATAGAATGCCACCGTCCTAATGAATACGAGTATTTTTCAAGAATACACAAATTCGATAATTCCCCAAAAAATGATTACTCACAGTAATGAACGTGGTCTAATGATTCTTTATATAACATTTTTCCCTCTATATATTCATTGGGCTTATTCATTAATCATGCGTACGCGATGTGCCTCAGCGTAGTCCATATTTCTGGCCATGTATTGTCTGTCAACAGGCAAACACTGCGTGGAATAGCTTCCATTTCCGTGGGCCGCAAAAGGAATGCAAAACCCTTTGTCAGGTGGAAAACACCTCTATTTCGGCTATTTCCCAATATCGAAATTATCATATTCCGCCTCATTGGGGGATGTCTGTGCCTTGTGGGCATTGTTGGGGAATCGGAGGGGAGTCGCTGCGTGTGTGCATGTTGGATGGAATGGCATAGTCACCTACACAGAAGATGTATGTAGTGCCGCACACAAGAAGGTCATCGGGCACCGAAAAGGGGATGATACAAAAAAGGCACATTCATATTTTCCCAGAATCGATCGATGAGTTTTGCCAATAAGTTGCTGTGTGAAATATACAGCGGCAAAGTGAACGAGATGTGGCGATAAGACATGTACTGTAGGTGAAATTCAATCATATACACCCACTATTGGTCTCTATATCAGTGAATTTTAGTTTTTCGAGATGCTTCGCGTCACTGCAATCTCCCCAGTGTCCAAATTGCCACCAATAACCATATAACATGGGTTTTACCCGCCATCAAGCTAATACAATTAATGATTAAATAATTTTATGGTGAGATTTCGACTTCCTCTTCTTTTAGCCGCCAAACAAACTGATTGGAAAATCGATGGCAGGTCAGAGAACATTCACACCTTCAGCGCCATATAGGAAATAGCCAACTCTCTCTCTCTCTCCCTCTCTCGATGCTCAACAACGAAATTATATCACGATAATCATTCTATCTAAATTGCAGAGCTCTAATTGTTGCCAAGGCAAAGTGTTAACCTAAATTTCGTGACTTCAACAGCACCGGAAGTGAAGCACTGTTCTTCCGTGTTCGGTCAAATGCCATCATCTGAACTTCTGTTGCACTTCTCCAAAGCACAGGTCAAGCGAACTTCCATCTCCTGAGACAATATTATCAGGCAAGAACTTTTAATAAAGGTGGCTTCACGAGAACATATGAAATATTCCACATCTCTTGTTCCGCGGTGAAAACTTTTGCATTATAGTTCAGTGAGTCACAATGTTTTCTTTAAATGTTATTCTTGAAGTTATACTATCGTGTCGATCGAGATTGTCAGCAAAACCAAATGCCATTAGTAGTGTTGTTAGACTGTCGGCTCAAGTTAAAATTTATGAGCAAGTGCGCAGTTAAAGGAATGAAGTTAACTGGCGAATATGTTAGCACATAAATTCACATTGCAAACGACGAACTAAAGAATGTAAAATCGCCAAGGTTTTCAAATACCCAAGAAATTGATGAATCTTTCTTTGCTCTGCACAAATTCTGGGAAATTCCCGTTACTGTGCCATATTTTCCCCACATTTTTTTTAGCAGTCTAGTCATCAAGCTAGTAAAATGTTTATTTCAGCAAATACGTAAATTGCGAATGTCTTCTTTCGCTTGCGATGATATGCGAAGAACAATAGAGAGAAACTTTCTTTCTGATAGTTGTTTTATGTTAAATCTATAATGTATTTTGATGATTCTTAACAGATTTCAGATTTTCCACAACATCACGAGAAATGTTGTATTTTAAGACGTCTGTAGGAAGATGAAGAGGAACGACAAGAGCGGAAACATGTCTTTGATTTATTTACTTTCGCACAGAGTATTTGGTTTTTCTGTTGTGGACTTTTCCTCACATAAAAATACATATAATAAGGAGAAATATTTATTTCTTCTCGGACAGCGTAAAATTGTAATCAAGTGTTACATCTTGTCTCACATAAAAGACGACATTTTTCATTAGGATTATCTGCAAGAAAACATAGTGCATTTTTGGAAGCCATCTATTCTTCACAGGATTTGCGCCATTTTTCAATCTGCCGAAGTTGAATTACATCGAAGGAACTGAAGAGCAGAAAAAAGGATTTGCCATGATAAAATTTTATTAATATGAATATGCCTTTTCCTCCTTTTCCTGCTATGTATAACCATTCTTTCCAGCGAAGCATATTACTCAAGAGAATGCTTTAATAATTCAATGCTATATAATGCTTTTTAAGTTACAACTCGACGTAAGCAATATTTTAACAAAGACTCGGGAATACAAAACAACATGGAATATATTGTACACGAGAGCCATATTGAGCTGATGCACTGAAATAGAAGCTTATTTTGCAAATTCGAGTGCAAATCATAATGCTATACGCCATTGGCATCAGGTTTTTATACGGAAATTTAGAACAGAAATCTATAAAAAGAAAAAGATATGTATTTAAATGAAAAGATTACTTGACTTTACAAGCGATGGAACGATGGAATTCTTTTGAATTTGCCACATTTACATTTCATTATATTGAAACTTTGTCAATTTTATTTATTCCTGTGCTTTTCCAAATGAAATTATGTATATTCTTGCAGTTCAATTGCTGCACTTTGTATGGAAAAGATATCCACAAGAGAATATAGAGTTTATTTCAAAATATCCACTGCTGAGTTGGAAACATGCTAAAAGACAGTGAAAAGAGTGGAAATAAAAAGCTTCGGGGCACTTTGCTAAAAACATGGTAATTTTAGTACTTTCGCTACACAGAAGGTGATTGAATTACTGGGTAATTAATGTTGACGCAACATTATGTCATGAGCGAGTACAGCTAAAATTATCTCTCTTTCTCTCTGCATTCTATATTTAATAATATAAATTTTTCATAAGACTTTGTATTTACCATTTGTCACTGGACAAGATAAGCCTTGAGTGTCGGCATTAGACCATCTGAACTTGCATAGAGCGTCCCAGAACACGCATATGTCACAATTTCCATACATATTTCTGTATTTCACTATTTATTCAAATACTGTGTATTAATTGGACACTTTGAACTTACACACTTTGGCACAATTTCATGCAAATGTATGGCTCAGAGTGGCGCGGGATGTGTTTGATATTCGCAGAGTCTCTGCTTGGAGATCATAAATAATTTGTCAGGCAGAAACACCATATGGTTGCAACTATTCACTTAGAATTTAACCCTTCATTTCACGCCTTGTCTCTCACTCTGCACGCACCCACTTTATCGGATGTTCGCTAGAAATGCAAAATTCTGTGCATTTTTTATAAGACAGGCTCACCATCCTGCGGAAAAGGGAGTGACGGTGGCAATTGGCGAAGGACAGTATTCAATCGTCGCGTATATATTGAATTGTGGAAATTGAATTTCATCTACATCACCATGAATTCAATTTTGCAACTATTCACATATGGTTCGCAGCTGAAATTCTTGCACACTGCAATTCTATATTAGTTCTACATTATTATAGATTTGCTGCGCGATATTCAATCGCACCACTTTCGACTCTTTATATTTCGATTGTGGATGCTTTTAAATTTAAACCCACAATGCACTCCTAAATGTGGCACTGTGTCAATTCAACCGCGAAGAAATAATCCATGACGCTCGCATACAGCGCAAAACTATTAAAAAGACACTATTTCTTCGACTCACAAGTAATTACTAAACAGCACAATGTCGAATGAGTCTTGCTCGCTCTCACGACATTGGGGAACTTATGAAAATGAAAAAACTATGGCGGAAAATGCATAAATTTATAATCACTTTCACCCCAGCAGAACTTCACCTTGTCTGCAGAAACAGCGGGAAAGTCAGACAATGCGGAGCGTGAAAAAATCGGCGTCGTTTCCACACCAAGTTTCGATATAAACTAAAGAGCGGCAGTACGATTCCTCGTCAATTGCCATGCCATTAGGAAAGGCAGCAACACAATGCGGTCACGATGGAGGGAGCAAAATAATCTTTATAGTATTCCAACTCCACCTCCACATGTGCCTTGTTTGAACACATGCAAAGATCATATGTTTGTTTGCGGGTGGCACAATATTCAAATTTTCTACATGAAACCATGTGAAGTGGAAGCGTCTCTTTCAGTGTAATGCGTGGATTTTCCTTTCGTCGCATTTGCAGAGCGGGAAAAGTAATTTTGTCACACACAAAAGAAAAGCCAAGACAATTTTCACCCTCATGCAGAGGATCGACCGCAGGTTTTTTTTTCATTCCCGGGTTACAGCACAGCGCACGTCAAGGAAGTCAAGGAAGCGATGCATAAAGATAAAGAGTCATAGGAGAAATAAGGGCGCCCATATTTCTCAATGTATCTTCCTCTCTCACAATTGTCTTCGACATTTTCTCGAACGCAAAAATAGTAAATAGAAGTTGACTCGCCCCATAATTGCAGGAATAGCGTTAAATTTATTAGCTCCGCTACAGCGTTTGAGGCACCACAAAATCAATGCAACAATTACCTTTGTGATAGGTAAATAAATACGGTGCCGAATTGACGAACTTTTGGGCGGTAGCTAATATGGAATAGCTTATGTACAGTGATAATGAAATCTCCAGAAAAACTACAATTTTTAGATGAATTATAGATGAAAGGTATTAAATCTTTCAGAAAGCTCTTAAAGACACTAAAATTCTTTTATCTTAGTTTACAGAAACGCTGCAATGAGAGAGAAACACAAAATATGAAACGATAATTGAAAAAATTTTAGCGAATGTTGGAAAAATCTTTTCTAAATGGGCACAGCTTTCAAATGGGCTTGATTGACTCTCTCATAATTATCTATTGAACGTGCGAAATAGAGGAAGAGAATTTAAAATTTAAATTCTTGCTTTAACCCTCGACTCTCTCCATAATGCACTTTTCATTAATTATGTTTCACTGGTAAAATTGATTACGCCCATTTTCATTGATCTCTTTTTGGTGGACAAACAATTTTCATTAGTGATGTTACAGGGTATTTTGCATATGGTATTGAAATTTAATATGCTTAGAATTCACACAACCAGAAATCTAACCAATAAATTCACATTAAACTTATCTAATGAGCTACAGAGTGAAAACCTGGCAGTTCAACCTTATTTTTTAGAGAGCCACATCATAGTCATTCCGTACTCATTTATCATACGCTATAATTATGCTCCCGGCCCCTTAATTAACCAAGTGGGAATTACACTGAAACACACCCACAAGGAGAAAAAAAATGTGTTAAAATTCTGAAATCACCGTCAGAAACTGTTCTTGTGTTCTAATATGTAAAATTCACGAATTTCACCAATCGGTGCGTTGTGGAGAATTAATGTACAGTCGAAAGCACTCAATCGATTTTGCTGCATAATTACTTATTCATTCTACTGCGTATGCGTTTTAATTATGTTTGATTTTGCTACATAATTTGCCAAAATTAAGTAAATGAATGTAAAATTAAATCGAGATGGTTGCAATATATTCAATGTGGGGCGTTTCTCACCAAACCAGAGAACCACAAAGACAGCATTTAGGCAGAGTAATAAATGATAGGTGCGATTTTATGTCTCGCTAGCAAACACCTATTGTCTTTCTCCTCCACTGAGTGAGGCTTTATCAAAGAAACTCAACTGATTACAAAGGACGTCAAGGAAGAAACAATGAGGACAAGGAAGAAAATGTCCCAAAGATATGCATAAAGTTTTGTGTGGTTTTGTGGCATAACAAATAATCATCAGCTTTCAACAAATGTTGAAAGATTAAGCTCCAGGATTAAAAGTTACACACAAGTGTCGATTGTTGACCTACTCTAAAGGGTAGTATTTAATTTCGAAATACCAAGTAACACAGAGTTTTATTGGGATTCGAGTAAAATGTTAAAATAAACATTGATTTGCCGCCATAAATTATAATAATTTCAACAGAATTTTCCATAAAATCATATTTCAAATCCAAATCGAGTCATTCGATGTTTTTTCACGATGGTTTTCTTATTCTGACATTGAATTAAATATTCCAAAAGACAAAAATATATTGATTTCAAAGAATACGAAATGAATGTAGTTTTTATGCGATTTTAATTTTTCTAATTGATCGCATAAAATTTACTTTGCATTGCACTTTGTACTTTTCTTCCAATTTTCATTGGTTATCAACGTAATTTCATCTTCATTATTTCACGAGTTGTGTGTCGGTAAAATCAATTCAATAGTTCATCACTGTGCGCCATTTATTCTGATTAGATATATTACTGTGAGTACAAAATTGTAATGGTCAGATAGCACGCAGAATAGCAGGATTACAGAGAGCCAAGACAAAAGTTTATTGTGTGGTCAGAACCCATATTTAGATGTCACATTAACCCCAAACAAGTAGATTGAATAAACCAAAATTGTGCATTTTCTCGAACATGAGTTTTCGGGGAATACATAAACCCTATTCATAATGCAGGCGCGCTGAATATGTACATGACTACGTTCTCTCTCTCTCTCTCTCTCTCCACATTCAATACCCCAAACGGCTGCTTTGATGGCTGCAAAAAGGCCTCAGGAGGTAGAAAAGCCCGAAGCCTTGATGATTTATGTATGTTTTCCATGGAATTCTATCAAAAATTGCTTTCCTTCTTAAGATAGACAGTTTAATATCGAGCGTTCATGTATTTTTGAAGGTTATTACTTTTAGTCATTAGACAAGCATATTTCCATCGTCATGTCAGAACCTTTTGCTAGAGAAATAGATCCTCTCCAATTATTCACCACTATAAAAATGACGGGCCGGAAATTGTGGAGTAGATTGGATTTTTTTTATGCACTTGAGAAAATATAAGCGCCTGTCCCAATAATTTCCTCTTCTGCTGCTGCACAAGAAAGAATTGAAAATCTGCCAATATGCAAGTCAATGTGTTCATCAACGTTTATTTAGCAGCGCCGGAAATGGGAAAATGCTGAACATGTCCTGGCTAAATCAGGAGCCGTGTCACGCTCAAATTTGGCAAATGATCCACCACACGGACAAAGTCATGCCACTCGCAAGCATAGGAGAAGCCAAGGGACAATCTCTCTCTGTCCCAGTTCAGCCAATTCACGCGGTCTCCAACGTCTCTGCAGAGCATGTATTCATCTGTGATTTCCTGTCGGGTCGCATAGGGATTGTTCACGCCGATGAAGACAATGGCTGAGCTGGTTCTGGGCTCAAACACGACTTTGTAGTAGAACTTGGGCACGGGAATGCGCGGATTTGTGGCATCGGGAACGAGGAAGAGAGGTTGCGGATTGCCATTGACGTCCGCCATGTGAAGAACACCCCAAACGCCAGTGTACACCTCCACTTCGATGCCCCTGTCTGCAACGAAGCGCCGCACGCCGTCCTCAATCCTCTCCCAGTTGCCACCATTGAAGGTCTGCCATTGTGGCGCGGCGTTGATGAAGTAGAAGGAGGCTCTCTGGTGGTTGCCAAAGATGAAGTCCGCTCTGGCCGCCATGTGTCCGCGCGCGAGGAAGTAGTCATTGGTTGGGTGAATGAGATCATCGGCCAAGTTCTGGCTGCCCAGAATTCCAGCAATGGTCTGCCTTTGTCTGTTGCGCGTGTACATCAGATTCACATTGAGATCAGAGGGGAAGTGATCATACTGGATGAAGGGTGGCCTTGGAAAGCCCCTTTGGAAGCCCTGATTGCCTGGTCTGAGCCAGAAGTGAGTGTAAAAGGTCGTTGAAGTGCCCGTATTGTGGCACACGTCGAACAGGTGAAAGAATCTCTCTCTCACTGCGAATCCAATCTCAGTCAATCGGCTGCCGCTGCCATGGCACTGTCTGCCTGTATTCCTGGCCGTGTGAGTAGGGTAGCCTGAACAGGTGAGCCTGGAAATCTGGTGGTGCGCTCCATTCACAGAAAATGTGTCGGCACTCACGCAAGTGGCGAAGATTGTCTGGACATTGGTGCCGAAGAGTGGGAAGTGCGTTGAGCAGAAGAGCTCAATCTGCTCGCCAGCCGAGAGACGCATGATGCCATTAGACGCCGTTGGGAGGAAGAACTCAGACGTGTTGGGACGAAGGAACAGAGGCTGAGGATCACCAACATTGAACCAGAGAATCGAACACTGAGCGTTCACCGAAGGACGCTCATTCTCATTCTCAACTGGAGGCTCCTCCACAGCCTCCATCTCAGCATCGTAGTCCAGTAACTCCTCGCCACGCACTCCATAGCTGTGGCTAAGGACTATGAGCAAAGTCCAGAGGTAGACACTTATCTTCCACATTGTGCACTCGACACTTATTCAAGAAGTACAGACAATTTTTCCCAGCGGGAGCGCTTTTAAAGAGCCTCTGACCAGAAAACTCATTAACCCTTTATGGGAAACAAGCGTATGCATTGATAAAACTGTAAGTTGTGAGTACACTGCTTATAGGGATAAAATTCAAGTCTGAAGACTCTTCTTGTCTCCAACAGAAGAAATAGTGAGTGTGTAACCACGATTCATTAGTAGAAATTTCCGAAAACTTCAAAAGAAGAAGGATAAGATATGCAACAGGCGTGTAATTGACTGAAATTTACATCTTTTTCAGATTTAAGATTGAATCAACTCAATTCCACTAACAAACTGTGCATAGATTGTCATTTGCTGCCTCGAAAGCATCTTCAGAAATGGATAAATATGCCAAGCAGTAGAAGTCAAGTGAGTACAGGACCAAGAGCAGAACATAGAGGAGATACAAAACAACAGCTATGGGTTAATAAAATGCCAATAAATTGAACTATTCAGGATTGATTTAAATGAAGCATGATTAATTTGTGTCTTGATTTCAATTTAATTAGCCTTATCTATCACGTCATGTTTCAATCAAAATTGACCATTCTGATTTCCAGTCATTTGTCTTACTTTATTTTGTAAGGAGTCATTGACTCAAACAAACAGACCAGTCACTTTAATATCTGGAAGGTGTCCAACCACTTGCTTGAATTCGTTCACTTCGCAAGCGTAGGAATATCCGAGGAGGAGATTGCTTCTGTCCCAATTGATCCAGTCAATTTCATCTGCCACATCCTCGCACACGATGTAGCCCTGACTCTCGATCTCGTCCAAGGTGACGTGAATATTGTTGACGCCTATCAAGACGATACCTTTCTCCGTGGACCTGTCGTAGATAACACGGTAGTAGAGCTTCGGCACGGGTATCTGGCCGTTATTGTTCTCATCGAAGTGCAGATAGATCTCCTGCTGTTGTCCGTTGACGTCGGGCAGTGTCAGGACACCATGAGTGCCAGTGTAGAGTTCCAAGTAGAGGTTCCTCTGAGACACCATCCTGCGGACGCTACTCTCCACCCGTTCCCAGTTTCCAGCATTGAACTTCTGCCACTGCGGAGCCACATTCATCATCCAAAATGTCGCCCGCTGCTGAGAACCGTAGATAAAGTCAACCTTGGCCGCCAAGTGTCCACGCGCGAGATAAACTTCGGTGTTTGTGGGCTGAATAAACTTGTCAGCCAGTTCCTGAGTGTTAATGAAAAACATCGTATCGATCCCACTTCTGAATGTATGGCGAATGGACTTGCCTGTGATCCCAGAATTTTAGCCACCATTGCATTCTGATTGACATTCGTGTAGATTCCGTTGGCATCCTTTCCACCGAAGAAGTCCGAACTCAGCCACGAAGGACGCGGGAATCCACTCTGGTATCCATCAGCTCCGGGATGCATAGAGTGGGACACATAAAGTGTACTCTCGCGAATATCATCATGGCAGATGTGGTAGAGCTCGATGAAGAGCTCCTTCACAATGAAGCCAACCTCAATGTCGACGCCTTCGCCGTCAGCACACTTGTCTCCAGACAGTCTGGCCGTGTGGTAAGGATAGCTCTTGCACACGATGTCCGAAAAGACCATTTCGCTCATCTTGTTGCCGCCGATGATGAAGTGATTGCCGGTCAAGCAAGTGGCCGTCAAGAGGCTGTCCGTGGCGGCAGGACTGTCGAAGCCATTTGTGCAGAAGAGAGAAATTACGTCACCTGGATTTAATCGCACAATTCCCGTTTTGCTGTTCGGTTCAACGAACTCAGTCGCATCGCGATTTAGAATTAACGGCTGTGGTTCACCTAAGCCTCCGGTGACGTAGATTTCACAAGCTGGGGAAGACACATTGAGTCATCGAGCCACACTTTCTGAGCAATTATTGAATGTGCTTATATGGGGAAACTCACGCTCCATTAGTGGGGAAACGTCATGATCAATTGCGGTTGCAATTCTCCCGCTGGACAAGCGCCAGCATGATAGCACAATCAGAAAATGCAACACCTTCATAACCTGCACTCCACCCATCTTTCGACACAGCACGGAACGCGACTGACTTGCAGAAGCAACAATTGTGGGATGTCTTTATATTTCACCATCTCTCACTCGAGAAAAACCGTGTATAGAATACTTCTTCAAATACTCACACACGAGATTGCCGCGCTATCAATCATTCAACGGCACTTTAAGCTTTCAGCTCATGATTATACTTGAATGAGCAATGATATTGTGGAAAAAATCAACAATGGACTAAACAACCATCGAGCTTAATTGATAACACATCACACTGAACACTTGTAGGAAATTTTGGGACACGCGTGATTTTCACGCTTCTCCGAGAATCTCTACAAACTTTGTGCACTTGAGAAAAGCGGCACTCAAATACGTACAATAATTGCAGAAACTCATTGAATTTGCAAAACAAAAAACGCTTAAGTTGTATATATTGTAAGACGGAATGTTCATATCAGTCAAATCGTAAATTGATTTTATTACAGAAAGTCACAAATTATCGATTTCATCTTACAAAGCTATAATATTAATGCGACTGTGGAGTGAAGCTTGAAACTCAAGTATGAAAAATATTGAGTACGCTTCTTGGTCATAAAATAACCAGTAAAACATTGCTCAGGATTGCAGTTTTACACTAATTTTTAATATTGAAATACATTTTCTAGCATTCAGATCCCAAATTCAAATAGAAAAAAGATAAAAATTGATTGTAAATTGAATTATAAAACCATTTATAGAACAGTTAAATTTCATTTTTAAGTACAAAAATTATTCTGAACATTGAAACAAGACCGTAATTAACTATATTTCTAATCATTCTTTCTAACACAATTGGTGGTGTTTATTTAACAGATAACATATTGCTTCGGTATCTCTTTTGCAGCTCAATTTTTGTGCTTTTTGAGTTCAAATTGATAGTGAATGAGCAACAATGAATGAATGCACCAGAAATGGAAAGAAAACAATGGAATGTGTACTCAAATCATTCAATTCCATTGATTGTATCGCTGTGAACAATTTTATCAGTTCTTTTGGTGGCAAAAATATAATGAGAACTTCAAAACAAGTATATTTTTATCAATTCATACAAAACTGTATCTGATTGTAGATTGTGAGACTTTTTCCTTGTATTCACGACTGATAAGCACAGAAACTCTCCAGAAGCACTATAAACTCTGTTCGTAACATCATAATTTCTCATTTTACAAGTGCAATTAATATTGTCGTGAATATTGCATATAAACCGTGAAACTTCCAAAACTCCTCAAAATGTAATAATTCAATATATTGTTTGTAAGTTTAACTAATTTTCGAACAATATTGTCTCAGAGATTAGCGTTTTATGGGATATTGTTTGGTAATCAAACTGGAAGATGCAATAAAGTGCTTCATATCTTTGAATAAATTAACCTGGAGATAATGAGAAAACGAGAATCCATATAGCACCATTCAATCTCTCACATCCGCAAGTCGCTTTCCTGGCAAGAGTTTGATAAGTAATGCAAACACTTTACTCAACACCAAGTGGCTTCTCGCAAAGGCTCAATATTATATGAAAATTATCTGACAAAGCCTTGGCATCAAATATGAAAACTTTATTCCACTTTAGTTTAATTGCCCGTGTTGTCATCGTTTTCCACCCCCTATAAACAAGTTTTCATCCCTATCAAGAATTTGATATTAATTAAGGAGCGTTTTCCGTACTGGGATTAATAACACTTCTTTATTATGAAGATTCAGTGAATTATCAGAAAGGTTTTAACAATCTTCTGACTCTAAAGCCTCAAAACATATTATCAGATATATATATTTTTTTTTAGAAGGAAATCCCTTATTTCGAATTAATAGAATATAAAACTTCACGAACAATGTTGTAATCGTTGAAATAAAGCTTTAACTTTAGTGCAAAAGAGGAAAACATTGGGTAATATAGCAATAATATGCACGAATTCAACATAAACAGTAACTATATTGAACAGACTGAGTAACTGAGTTGTATGAAAAAAAAGTCTAGTGAAAAGTGGAAAAAATATGAAAAATCCGAACAGAGTTAACGAATAATTGATTTTCATATCTGTTTACTTTGGTCGTTCCACTTCTTCTCGCGTTGCTGGTGCTTTTTCCACACAGATCCAATCAATATCAGGTATTTGAAGGTTCACGATTGCGAGAAATTTTTTGAATTGAACCATTTGTTCATGGAAATTCTCTTTTGGAATCAATGTAAGAATAGATTCAATAATAGTGATGAATTTGAAATGGTACAGTTTTGCCTACCTTTAGGCTATTAAGTGGTGCAGTGTGAAAACATGGATTGTATTCTCGAGATTTCTCGTTTTGCCGGTATGAGATTTCTCACTAAAGTTGCCCAGGACAATTCACGGCCATCACGATACGTGGTGAAGACTTAGTGATGCAGCAGCGTGCAGAATACTGAGCAGAATCACAGAGACAACACCCCAAGGACAGCCTTAAAATGGAGGAACAACTGGTTTTCCGGGTGGAAAGTGGGTTGATTTATTGATTTAGGCACGCAGAATGCAAGCGCCTCCGGCTTCCTTGATCTTGCGCTCCGCCTTGGCGGAGAAGAACTTGGCCTTCACAATGATGGGCTGCTTGGGCAGATGCCCGCGGCCCAGGAGCTTGTAGTAGCCGAACTTCACCAGATCCACCACGGGCACCTTCGGGTTCTCCTTGGTGGCCTCCTTGGCGCAGTCCTCGCGCACCTTCTCGCTCACCAGCGTCCACAACTTGTCCAGGTTGAGAGTTGGGCAGTAAGTGTGGTTGCGTCGCAGGTGGAACACTCGCATGCCCACCTTGCCGAAGTACCCGGGATGGTACTTGTCGAAGTTGATGCGGTGGTGGTGCATGCCACCGGCGTTACCGCGACCGCCCGGATGCTTCCTGTGCTTCCCTGAAAACACACACACCAACATAACCTCACACTCTGTCTGGGAAGCGAGAAATCGTGGCAAGATCACTGTGTCTTTACTCACCAATGCGACCGTGACCGTGGCTGACGTGACCACGGAGCTTCCTGGTCTTTCTCCTCTTCTGGTTGGACTGAAAAACACATGAAAATAGCAGGATTAGAAGGTTGCCCAGAACTATGCGGTTTTCTCAGAATTGAACGACATTTTCGTCATTCCTCCACATTTATGGCACGCCTTAGAGTTACTGGCGTGGATTTAGGTTGAAATTTGGAGGAAAAACAACACTCACCATTGTTATTTTTGATAAAACTCAATGAAACGCGTCCACGTTTCCCACAAGCTTTGAGTGAAAAGACATTTGCTAGAGACGGAAGTTGGCGTGACAGCAAAAACACCATTCGCCTTTCCGTCGCCAGCGCCACCTTGAAACGAACATTTGGTGTCAAATTGAAAATGCGGTTCGTATGAGTTCAATCTTATAGGATTTTTAGAGAATTCCAAATTGAATACGATGACGAATAGAATGATTAATAAGTATTAAATAATTTTATTCACAAGACAATATTACAAAATGTAAAATTGACTTCCTACAAATTGCATAGGAACTTCAAATACCATTTCTTCACGTCAATGAACACTTTTCTTCCATGCGCTCTTGAAGTAAAATCTTTAGCTATAATTTAATTTTCATAAAACAATAATCTGTAATCTCTTCTTTTTTGGATAAAATCTGGCACACGGTGTTGATTAGAAGTTAGTGGAAATGTCTTCCGAAGACCCGTAAAACTTTAGAGCAGTTGAACAAATATTTCAGTCTGCATTCCGAGGAATCTTCACTGTTGCTCTTCTCGAATGAATAAATGGGGCTCGCTATTGAATTTTCTCAGCGGACTCGAATTCACTTCATTCCCTTCATTCACATTTCCCACGCTAATACTGAAGTTCTCTCTTGGCGTCTTGGCGTCCAATTTTGGCGGCTGCACTCCATTCGGGCAGCTTTTTGGCGCTGGCTTGGCATCTCGTGAATCGCCGTGGCAAATCTCCGGGGCGAGCTGCTCGAAGCTCTTGCAGCAGGACTTGTCCAGGCAGGAGACGTCGCGACAGACCATCAGGCAATCGCCGGACTTCCTGTCCACGGACGCGCTCCTGGACTTGGTCTTGAACTCCGGCTGCACCGTAACGATCGTGATGCCCTGGTCGCGGAAGAAGCTCAGCACATCCTCCATCACGCGAGCGTACGTGCGCGGATCCTGGAAGATCACGTGAGCCGTCGAGACGTACTTGCTTCGCGTGAGCTGCCAAATGTGCAGATCGTGCACGCTCTCAATCTCCGGAAAGGTGGTCAGAAGCGTGTTCTTGAAGTGCTCAATGTCGATTGAGCCTGGAATTGTTTGCAGTAAGATGAGACTGGATTCCTTCACTGCAAGAAAAGAGGACAATTTACTCAACTCACGCCTTCAAATGGAGTCCAAATGATTCATTTGCGCCGCAATTGGCTCTCTCATTGCCATTTTGCACCGCATCGACCCAAATAAAGTGTGAGATATTGACCAGTCAAATCATAAGAAGAACTCATGGCGTTTCAATAGACTCGAGGAGTATCAAGATGAATTGTAATTTGTTAATTATATAATTGAAGTGCGGAGCGTGACTATTATGCGGAATTGCAATTGTGAGTCTTCATTGGGAAAAAGATCACACTTCGAGTATTTCACAGTCTTATCTGAGCGCTGAATCTCAGACTCATAAAGTTTGAGGTTCACCACACGCGATGGTCAGAAATCGGCTTATCTGCTGTAAACAAACCCAAACATTCTTTTCACACTCACTCAGAGTGAAATTCATTTCCTAATCGACTTAAGCGATAATCAATCTGAGTATTTAGTAGGAATTTTTTTTACATAATTTACATGCATAATTGTTTGTTTGGTAACATTTCATTCAGAGATAAAGTGAAAGAATAACGATAAGCAAAATATTTTATAGCAATATTCGTCACACTTCATATTACAATTTAAATATTAAATAAAAGTCATAATTCTTAGATATGTAAAATTGTTTTTGTTTCTTTACAAAAATGAAAAGTTCACGACACCACATTTGAGGTTTGAAAACCACAATGAAACCTTGTGATTAAGGATAAAACAATGACAAATTCAAGAAAAAGCCTAAAGCTGAGACAGATTCTACAATAATCTGAACCTACAAGAGAACCCATGTTTGTGAAAAATAGTTCAGCATAGATTAAGCGCATCATACTCACTGTAAGGATAGCTGAGGATCAGCAGGACGATGCAGGAGAGAATGGAGATCACGGGATCGATGAACTTGGTGATGTTCTCATTGTTCACGAAGAACACGATGATTGCGCACGCGATGACAAAGAGGCAGCTGCAAATGTCGCGAGCGATCTCCATGATGCTCTGCCGGTAACCGCCGTCCTGCTGCACCAGCGTCACGGCGTACTTCTTGGTGCGCGATAGGCGCCGCTCGCCCTTCTGCACGGACTTGTCTGACACCACGCGGTCCAGCACCACGTTTCCGCTGGACGTGATGTGCAGGAAGCTGCCCTGGTGAAAGGTGTAGCCGCCGATGAGCAGGTGGCACACGCCGTTGAGCACGAGCCCCGTAGCGCCCACTACGAGCACCGGGATGGGATGGTGCATCGTATCGGCGTAGTTGATGTGGATGAGCGTCTGCAGAGCCTCCACGAGCAGCGAGAAGCTGAGCGACGCCATGAAGATGCACACAATCATCATCGTGAGCAGATCGATGCGCGTCCAGCCAAAGGTGTTCCTCAGGACGCCGCTCTGGTGATCGCAGCTCTGCAGCCGCTGATCCGCGTTCGGCTGCATCTCGATTGCGCAGTCATTCTCCTTTCGAGGCGCAGGCGAACCGGGCGCCTTTTTGCTGTACTGCAAGAGAGAGAGAGAGAAACCGCATTAATGCCAGTGCTGTGATACGATGCGACATGTGAAGTATCAATTAGTATAATCTCTATTGCCTTTAAAGCATGATTGCATACAATTTAGCAACCGCACATCACCGTCTTCATTATAATTCAAGCGATAAAATGGATAAATCATTGTGAATTAAAAAAACCGCGATCCTTGCTGACATACCAATTTGCCATTTAAAATGCAACTAACGCGATAAAGTGAATTTCATTTCCACGATTCTAATGTCGTAATTGCTAAGCAGATTTGTTGAAAATTTGTCATATTTGGGGAAAACATCAAATAATCACCAAATAAAACTAATGGTGAAAACACAGCATTTTGATCAGCAACCATTATTTCTTTCTTCACCACGCGTATCGTGCATTTTCCTTCCTGCTCGCGCAACATCGTCTACAGAATTTGTCTTTGAAGAAAGAGATAAACCCAATGAATGGTTGCTAACCAAAATGCTGTGTTTTCACCATAAAGAACACCAAAAAAATCCTGGGCAATAAATTCATTACAAATATAAGGTTATAATGAAATAAAGTTGAAAGAGTTATTGAGGTTATTGACATTACAACGTTACTCGACATTTAAAAAGATCCTTATCAAAAAAAATTTAATTTGAGATGTAGTCAAAATTCTAGTTGAAAATATTGTTGCAATTCACAAATCTTCATTCTACCATTAAATATAAATTCAAATCCTGCGACGAATTGACGATTCGCTGTTCTCACGATTAGCTAAAATATCCGTAAAATGATTAAAGTTTTGCATTATTTGAGTATTTACGATACAGATAACATCAACACATAAAGTTTCATGATACCGACATATATATGTTTTATATTATAGGTAATAAGCCAATACCACTATTTCACTAATAAATCGATAAGGAGAGTATAAAAGGAAGAAATTCTTTTGGATCGACAGTGTGTTCTCTAACTTTGGCGAAGTGACTTAAACAGCTTTAATATTTAAAAGGTGAATCAATTTGAAGTGCTGAAAAATGATTTGGAATAAAGTTTTTTCGGTTGCTCAGAAACTAAGAACGACGAATGTCCTTAAATTCAGTGCTGCTTTTCAAACATTTTCAAAGGAAAGATTCTTCTCTACAACTTCGGCAGTCAGAAATATTGGATATTTGGATAATCACTACAACAAATACAGCATTTTACCAAATATCAAAGACAAAGTTCTTGTAGAGTGAGTTATAAATTAGAAGAAGCATGATTGATTTGATTGTATTATAAGTTATCGTGGATTTTCAGTAAACCTGACATGACGTACACCAAAATAGACGACGACAAGTTACTCTCAAAAGCCAAAAGAGATCAATTTTTGTCTTATTATCCGGAAATTGCGAATGAACTTGAAAATAAAGCATCATCAATCGATCACATTAAGCGCGGAGCACACCTAAGAAGGGTAAGAAAAGATCAAGTCTTACAACAACGAATAATTATTAAATAACACTTTAATAGGTTCTAGACTATATAACCGAAGGTGGAAATAAATATGGAGGAATCGTGGTTGCCGAAACATACAAAATGCTAACGCCAGATCTAACCCCGGAGAAACTGAAGCTGGCTTATTACCTAGGATGGTGTCTGGAATTGGTGAGCATTAGATTGACATCTAAAATTAAATTTAGTTTCCGTAGCATAACAAGAATTCTTTTACTAGCTTGTTGACAGTATTGGTGTCGTTGATGACATCACAGACAGCGGAAAGACGAGAAGACACAAACCTTGTTGGTATCTTGTGGAAGACGTTCAAATGGGTGCAATTAACGATTCATTTTTGATTGAAAAGTGTGTCCAATATCTGATGAGGACGCATTTCGGCCATCTCGACTGTTTCATGCGACTTCAAGAACTCTTCACGGAAAGTCTCTTTATGTTTTTCCTGGGTCAGATCGACGATGGGAAATTTACACAGAATATCGAGAATATTACGATGAAAAACTACGAGAGCATAACTTTAACTTCAACTGGATACATTATAAGTTACTTGCCAGTTGTCTTGGGAATGACTCTGGCTGGTTACACAGATCCGGAAATTGTAAAGAAAGCGCACCCAATTCTCAGTGAATTGGGGTACTTTTATCTTATCGAAAATGACTACATGGATTGCTTTGGCACGAAGATCACCGGAAAAGTCAGGAGAGACATTCAGCAGGGCAGGTGTCGTTGGTTAGCAGTTGCGTGTCTGGAAAATGCGACTCCGGCGCAGAGGGAAATTATGAAAAATCACTACGGACGAGACACTCCGGAGGATGTTGCCATCATCAAGCAGTTGTATTTGGATATGAATTTACCGGAAATCTATGCAGAGTATTCGAAAGAAGTTTACAATCGCCTGATGAAGAATGTGGAGGAAAATTCTTATGGAGATTTGAAGAAAGTATACCTTAAATTGATTGAGACTTTGACTTGCTCCTCGACTGTTGGCGGTTTATACCCATAATTTGCTGCAGGGTCATTAAACCCATCATATATATATATGACGTTATAATGTAGAAAAGCCAAAAAAAGCAGGTGTGGAAGTTGTACTTTTAAGGGTTGTAAATATTCAAGATGCTTAATAAATTTACGAAAACAGCAGTGATAAAATTGTCGATTGAAACTTACTATTTTATTCGGTTTCATGCTCTTAAATTTACGATAAAATCTTCTCAAGTGCTTCGATTGAAAACACGCGCCAATAATATTCCAAAAGACTCGTAAATTGGTAAATTTTTACAAAGGTAAATTGGCAGAGGTATATTTTTACCCACTATTTGAGTATTTATGATGCAGATAACGTTGATATTGAAACTTTCATGATACCGACATATCTTAGTTTAACCGTAAATTATCCACGTCATGAATTTCGCCAAAAATTCCGCCATGTTGATCCCAGTGAATATAAAAAGAATGCAGTCTCTTTGGATGGTCAGTTCGTTGTCTGACTTTGGAAAAGTGACTGAAATACAGTGGAGAATCTAACCAATTAAAAGTGAATAATATGATCGTGCATAAGATTTTGTCACTTTCTCAGATATTCAAAATGAAATATTTACTTAAATTAAGTGCAGATTTAGCGAAAAAACAATTCTCAACTACGATGACCGACAGAAATATTGAGTATATGAATTCTGATGAAAACTACTCCTTGTTGCCGAAAATTAAGAATAAATCTCTTGTTATGTATGTTCCAATTGAAAGAAATATCACGATTTGGAGTGATTTGACTACAAATTCCGTGCTTTCAGTAAACCTCATTTGTCTCACGTTGAAATTCCCGATGAAATGTTGCTTTCGAAGAAAACATTAGATGAATTCTTGTCTTATTATCCAGAAATCGCTGACGAACTTGAAGCCAAAGCAGCTGAAATCGATAGTATTGGGAGTGGAAAACACCTGAGAAAGGTATGAAGAAGGCAAATTGATTTAAAAAACCAAGCAAACGAACAAAACTTTTCAAAAAGGTTCTCGATTACGTGAGCGAAGGTGGGAAGAAATATGCCGGCATAATCACTGTTGAGACTTACAAGACGCTGACGACAGATTTAGGCCCGGAAAAGCTGAAGCGAGCTTTTTACCTAGGATGGATACTTGAAGTGGTGAGACGAACGCAACGCTTTAATCTTCTGTCGAGTTGTTATCAAAAGCTTGTCGTGAACAATATTTTCAGCTCTTGGACGGTATCCTCGTGTGTGATGATATGATAGATGGCGGCCACACGAGAAGGAATAAGACGTGTTGGTATCGCTTAGAAGGCGTAAAATTGAGTGCTGCAAATGATTCTTTGTTGCTTCAAACCGCTGCGTTTTATTTGCTAAGAAAGCATTTTGGCCATCTCAACTGTTTCTCACATCTTTGGGACACCATAAACGCAACGATGCTCATAACCTTCTTAGGCCAATCGCTTGATGTAAGAAGCGCGCAAGACTTAATGAACATGACGATGAAGACTTACGAGGCCATTGCTAAGAAAATAAGCTCGCATACAGCAGCATTCTTGCCAGTTGCTCTGGGAATGACTTTGGCTGGCTATACAGATCCTGAGCATCTTCGGAAAGCGCGTCCAATTCTCATTGAGTTAGGATACTTTTTCCTTATTGAAAACGACTTCTTGGATTGTTTCGGCGATCCGAAGGTCACCGGAAAAGTCGGGAGAGACATTCAAGAGGGAAAGTGTCGCTGGTTGGCAGTTGCGTGTCTGGAAAATGCGACTCCGGCGCAGAAGGAAATCATGAAAAATCACTACGGACGAGACACTCCGGAGGACGCTGCCATCATCAAGCAGCTGTATTTGGATATGAAATTACCAGAAATCTATGCAGAGTATTCGAAAGAAGTTTATAATCGGTTGATGAGGAATGTCGAGGAAAATTCGTACGGCGATTTGAAGAAAGTTTACCTTAGATTGATAAATGATCTAACTTGTTCAACAGCCGCTGGTGGATTATTTCCTTAATTTTTACGAGATAATATAACAATTTTAAGTGCTTCTGAACAATGAATCGTTATCGTGCTAAAAATAATCTTTGCAGGAGACAGAAAATTTTTATGGCAACTGTGTGCAATCTCGTTAGTACTTTTAATCACAAAATTTTATCATCCGCATTTATGTTTACTGTGTATTCTTAGTATATAAAAGTATAACACTGATTAAAACCTTTTGATTTTTCCACATATCTACTTCATGATCCTTTATTAATTGTTAAAAATTATAATTTGCATACATCACGTGTTATTTAATAATTCATTCATTGAACTCTTAATAAAATGTTTTTAGTTGTATATATTTTTTCTATATTTCTACAACAAAATTCCTCGCAGTGTATAAATAACTTCACCATATGTGTTTATTAGACTTCAAAAAAGTAACATTTACGTCACTTGTTAAATTATTTTTTTCTCCACATTCAGAAAATGTCAAAGAAGTGCCGAAAGACTGTTATATTGCCTTATGTGTTTGGGAAAAAGAATTTTACGACTTCTACCCAAATATAAAGTGTTTTGACGTGCAAAATGATATGCAAAGCAAACAGCTTGAGACGAAGTTCTTCCGTTGTCGCGGAGAGATGTATGTTTGCAGGGCGACATTGAACCTGAATGCGGTTCTGTTTGCGTTAGAAAATAAACCTTAATACACAATCTCAAAGTGTGTTTTCCACATAATAATCACTGTTTGTTTATAATGTTATGTGATTCGAATAATTCCACATATCAACATCAGCAATTAGTCAAACATAGTGAAACGCGTTCATGAAGTTGATGCCAAATACAGAGGTAAAAAGAGAGGTAAATGTGCTGAGGTCACAAGATGTTATTGGCTGAAGATTGAGAGTGACAATGCAGAAAAGGGCAAATTGATAGAAATGGGCATTGATAGACGCGCGCCTTGTTCAGCTTGCATGATGTCCGGACTTCGGGGGGGTGAATTGAAACTTGTATATCGTGAGATTGTATCTTGAAACATAACTGATCAAGAATAATTCCATAAATTTTTCTCATTTTCATAATCTAATATGATTCATGGTCCCTTCATTCCCTTCCTCAATTTCGCGTCATTGGTTTTTCTGGCCGATAACAATATCTCAGTGAATAAAGCACTTTTAGATTATTTCTGGCACGTACCAGTGCTTTCATTGCGTTCATTCTCGTTTCGGATTTATAAGGTACTTTTTCCAGACTTCGAATCTCGTCACACATTTCCACCGGAGCTGGTTGTAAATTACACGTGAAGTGTGCAAATGAGAAGTCAACTTACAAGAGACTCAAGTCATTTGTTAATTGGGACAAGAGCAAGATAAGACGCTACTGGCTTTTTTTCTATTTGAACAAGAAATGGAGAAAAATGTGTACACTATCATTTATTCTTTCCTGGTAGATAAAAGTCACTGAGCCACACACGAATTAGAGACACTGATGGCCCGCCAAAGTGACTGGATAATCAGCAATAGATTATCAATAATCGCCCACAACTTTGTTGCGGTGAAGATTAGATAAAAGCGACGATATTCAGCAATTGGCCAGTCACATTCAATCTAATCACAATAGAGACATTTTGCTATAGCCACCACTCACCTTAATGGTAATTATGCATCCAGTGAGAGCGATAATGTTGCACAGCATGTGATAAGAGTTCACTAGAAGCGTGAGAGCGTGTGTTATGTGGCTGAAGAAGAGCTGAACGAGAAAATATACGATTGATAAGATGAGCACAACGTACAATTGAACTGGCTCAAGTCGGTGAACGAAGTCTTTGAGGCCCATTTCAGCGCAGAATCGTGTCAATTGATCCCAAGAGAGGAAGTCTGAAATTGCAGAATTAGCAAAATATGATCACTAACAGAAAAATAAAACATCCCCCAAAGATGGCAATGATTCTTTTTCTCTTTGCAATTTATAATCGCCTTACATCCATAAATCAGTCTGATGCTCTCATCCTTTTCACATATACTTTATTAGTTTGCACATACGAATTTCCAGCTGTGAACAATAAAAGAAAAGAGTCGCATATCTTTCAGATTCTCCCACACGCGACACAGAACGGCGTTGAGTTATAAATTAAATAAGAAGTTCAATAAGCTCTGTCTTTGACCACGTTGTTCTGCTGTTGAATCACAAGTCTGGGACTCTTCTTTCTGTCTTCTTCTACAGATGATCTTGAAGAACGCATAAATTCATATTTTCTCTTACAATTATTAAGTAGTCATAGTTGAAATATCGATCTATTTCCGAAAGAGCAGTAATTAAATAGTTTTTTTTTTATAGTAGAATTGAAAGAAAAACGGTAAATGAGTTTCTATGTCTTTAAATTTACCACATTTTAAGAAATTCACTCAATAAGATTGATTCCTAAATTTGGTGCCTAAAACGCACACGTTAATATTTTTCCTTTTATATTACGAAAATTTGCTAAATGATCAACAATTAACTGGTTGATATCGAGTATCAACTGGTGTGCATATCTGCTCTGCAATAATTTTAAATATTTATTCACGGTTTGGTTATTCCATTAAATATATCAGTTGTAACATTTCTGGAACTCATATCATAATTTAATGCGGTTTCAAGCTTATAAAGTGATAAAAATTAAAACACTCGTGAAGTTTCATCGGAAACACGAGACTACCATAATTAATGAATTACGAAGAGTGATAAAATTAATTGTCACCAGAAATTCATTTAATTTGTTTGTTGATAAACACTTTTGTGGCTTATTCTGAAATTTGGTGGGAGTTTCAGTGAAATCAAAAAGGGTTTTTCTCTCTGTATCGATAAAAATAACCCATCTTTTTGTGCTATTTTTAACCGAACATTCGAACACAAATTAATAAATTACACGAAACGTTGCAGTGATTGCTGGTTTAGTTTCACAAGGTGTATCACTCGCTTCCCGCATAATTGGCAGAATTGAGATAATTCATTCAATTAGATTGTATAGAAATGAATTTGAATGGTGATTACAACCACAGTGAAAGCCACTTGTCGTCAATGTGCTCTTCAATCACATCACACTCTGTGCTCATGAAATAGAATCACAAACCTTTGATTCACTAATATAAAGGTTAACAACTTCCGCGAGGAAGCACGGCCGTTTCCTTGCCAAGTGATCAAGAAATAACAACTGATCGCGGATTTTGCGCCCAACGCATGTGCACAGCGTCAAGTCTTCTCGTCAACTGAATGAGTCCAACGGCGCACGAGGGAGAAGTCGATACACTTAACAACAGTCAGATGTTATTTTCGTTATCAGCTAACGGCGTGCGATATCAGGGCTCTTTGTCGTTTCAAGATGACCAGAGAAAATCTCCTGAGTCAGAGCTTTTCCTCCACATGATCGTATTTTTATTAACACATCTGACCTTGCTTTCAAGGAGTTGTTATTTATAATTCTACTACAATCATTGATCTCTGTGATTTCTCTCAGTGTAGCTGAAGTGAAGCGAATTTAGCCAAGTTGCAATCCATCAATGCAAAAAACTGTTCTACGCGGTTATTTAAATTCAAAAGCACTCCATCAGGGGCTCCTAAGTAGCAATTGCAATGCACCAATGCTTTAAGGGCAATTTAGCTTCGATTGAGCAGCATCATAAGCACTGTGTAAGTTGTCTTCATGCACTGCAAATGAAAGACGTTAAGTTTTAGGAAAACGCTCAATCGTTGTCGCATTACCTGCAGAAATGTCCTGAGATCCATGGCAGCAAAGCCACCAGCAGATGGTTGAATAGGTCTTTGCGCCAATGCCAACAGGATAATGAACATCCTTTGAATCCGGGCAGGAAAATTGTACCATTGACAATTATAAACTGCCTTCTCGAATCTCTCAGCAAAGGTGATGTAAACTGTTCCAATAGCAGTGTGAAAGAGTAAATTGAATATCATCGTGACGCACAGAACTATTCCGGGTATCCACAGGATCTTTATGAGGACAAAGAGTGTCAGGATTAGTGCTATCATGAGAGCTGCAATGGCGCACAAGTTGTGAAAACTTGTGAAGATGTCGAGAAGTCTCATGATTCTGATGTGACTTTGAAACTCATTGATTACAGATATCAGAATCCTGTCAGCAGCTTCTAAGTCTCTCACTTCACCAGATTCATTTGCAAGACGATCGAGATCGTGAAAATACTCAATCATGGCCATAAAGTGATGGCACTCAATCAGCATGTGTCCCAAGTAGAAGACGTCGAACATGATCACTGTTGTGACTGCAACATAGCATTGAGACGCCTGGAATAGGAAGTTAATTTCATATCCTGGCGATCGCTGTGGATCGACAAAAGGTATGGCATATCCAAGCACCAGATACTTTTCATTGTTGTAAATTGACGCCGAAATGGTGCAGATGAACATGAACACCGGAGATCCGAGATAGCACCAAAAGAGATATTTGTACACTTTCTGAAAGTATTCCAGCCCATTTTTCTGCCACTCCGCCTTCTCCGCATCGACATTCAGTCTCGCAAATTGATTCTTTGTCTCCGCAATTATTTGATGCACGCAGTAATTCATCGTGATAGCCAGTAGAGTTTTATTGGATATTGTGAAAATCACTCCGATGGTCGAGAAGGCGAAAATCATTTCCAATGGATTATCGCGCGAAGTATACATGGAAATCATGGTGAAGAGAATCCCGACAATGTCTTGAAAAATGTTGAAATAAAGCGAAATTGTCATTGGTTTCGTGATATCGCGCAAATAATAGTCCAATCCAAGCTTTCTGCCAATCTTATCGACTTCACTTAAAATGCCCAAGTAGATGTCCTGATTCTTCAGCACCATTTTTTCACAAACACACACTTTTACCTTGCGACAGCGACTTTCTGCAACTGATTGCGATTTTCCTGAACAATAATTCCCCTTTTGTAAGACTGCAAATTGAATGTTCAATAAATTTGCACGACGGGATTCAAGGGAACATGCAATCATTACGAATTCACGCAGAAAATGAAGCTTTGCCAATTTGTCCTTTGATGTATATTAAAAAGCTTAATTATGGCTTTATGCATTGACTTAACTTGTGACGTGAAAACGGAATTATTTATCTTTGAGTTCTAACGTAATTTTATTGCGTTAATGACTGAATAGCGTCACTGAGAATTGCGTGACGAGGAGGATTAGTTCACGAACACAGATGTGAATTAATTCAGGTAAGTATCTATAACAGAATTTTTACCATAGTTTCTGGACCAAAAATACAAAATACTATCAAAACGTAATCCAGAGATTATGAGCAAAACATATGATTTTACGCCAATACAACAATAAACAGTCTTAGAATGACTTTTTACATATTTTAAGTATGAGCCATAAACTTGTTATGAGAAATTTGTGGAATATAAATAGAGCGAAAGCTTCTAAGGGCGCCAGTGTGATATTTGGCTTTGGATAAGAATCTTCAAGTTCATCAAGTAAAAAGTGAGGGACGAAAATGATTTTCAACAAAGTATTGTTTCTCAGTCAGAAACCTAGCATTCTGAATATAATTAAATTCAGTGCAAACATTAAAAAAACTTCTGTGAAAAGGTGCTTTTCTACTTCAAAGATCGTGAATAATTTAGGATATATGGAGACCAGTGACAAATATGCAATGCTACCAAGTGTCAAAGACAAAGTTCTCATTAAGTGCGTTTGCATCGAATGAAATGATGCTGAATTGATATATGTTTTAACAAACTTTATGCGTTTCAGAAAACCCAATACAGCCCACATTGAAATACCTGACGATATGTTGCTATCACAGGTCAAAAGAGATCAGTTTATGTCGTATTTCCCGGGAATCGTTCAGGAACTCGAAGCTAAAGCAGCGAAAATCGACAATATTGAGCATGGAAAGCACTTGTCAAAGGTACTAGAAATAAACATTTATAAATTATAAAGTTCTAAATGAGACTATTGCAAATAGGTGTTGAACTATGTCGTTCCTGGTGGAAAGAAATATGGAGGAGTTGTTGTTGCTGAAACTTACAAGATGTTAGCTCCTGAATCTCAACAAACGCAGGAAAACCTGAAGTTGGCTTATTACTTAGGATGGTGTTTGGAATTGGTGAGTGATAAAGCAATAATTTAATTTTCGCGACGCTGCTAAAACTTTTATTCGTGTAGCTCGTTGATAGCATCAACACGGCTGATGATATCATGGACGGTGGGAAGACGAGAAGGAATAAAACTTGTTGGTATCTTTTGGAAGACGTTCAAATGATGGCCATAAACGACTCTTACTTAATTGAGACCTGTGTCCATTATCTTCTGAGGACGCATTTCGGTCATCTCGACTGTTTCATGCGACTTCTCGAACTCTTCAACGAAACAGCTTTCATAACTTATCTGGGACAAACTGTGGATGTGAAGTCTTCTCAGAATTTCCTCGATATCACGATGAAGAACTACGAAGCTATTGTTATGAATATCAGCTCCTACATTATAAGTTATTTTCCAGTTGTCCTGGGAATGACCTTGGCTGGTTACACAAATCCGGAAATCGTCAAGAAAGCGCGCCCGATTCTCACTGAATTAGGATATTTTTATATAATTGAAAACGACTTCATGGATTGTTTCGGCGATCCGAAGATCACTGGAAAAGTCGGGAGAGACATTCAGGAGGGAAAGTGTCGTTGGATGGCAGTCGCGTGTCTGGAAAATGCGACTGCGGCACAGAAGGAAATCATGAAAAATCACTACGGACGAGACACTCCGGAGGACGAAGCCATCATCAAGCAGTTGTATTTAGACGTAAAATTACCACAAATCTATGCCGAATATTCGAAGGAAGTTTACAATCGCCTCATAAAGAACGTTGAGGAAAATTCTTATGGAGATTTGAAGAAAGTTTACCTCAAATTGATTGAGACTTTGACATGTTCAACAGCAGCAGGTGGTCTTTATCCCTAAATTTTCACTTCTTATAATTACTCTTCACATTATAGCCTCCAGATAAAGTAAACAGTAATGTAACCATGAGCAGTTTGAATGTTTTTATATCACAGGTTTATTGTAAAGGGAAATTGCCATAAATTTTCTTAGTGGAACTTATATTGTTATAAAAACAGATAATAAAATATAGTCACTGAATTTTCTCTACTAAATTTTCTTTTATTAAAATAATAATTATCACGTCCCTAAAGTTAGTTTAATTTATAGTTTTTGTGAAGCAGTGCAAGAGCATAAAATGTTGATTACCTTGTTTCTCTGAACGCTTCCTTCCTTCTGTTAATTCCTATGTTTGATTGCATGAGTACTTCGATATTCAATATATAATAATATATCAGTATTATTTGTAAATCATATAATGTCTTTTGAATAAACTTTAAAAACCTCAGTCTAATTCAATGTTAAAAAAATTGATCTTTTGTCTATTTTAGGAAAATTCCTATAAATATATTTAGTAATATTCGTGCGAATGAGCGCAATAACCTATCCTAATTAGATCATGAGTAATTCACAAATTTACTATCTCTCCTTTGACATACATATGATAGTTGAGAATGAAGAAACACACTTATAAAGTACTACTCGCATTCTTGGCCAATGCTCTCACGTGAAGATAAAAGAGGAGGAATTGGACATAATTTTAAAATCTCAAATCTCTCAAATTAATTTGTTGCAATTTATGGTGTCCCCGCGAGAGAGAATGTTGACTTGGCTCTGTACCATAAGGTAAATCACAAGTTATCGCCGCAATATCTTCCAAAAACATTCAACACATCCCGTTAGATTTCCATGAGATATGTCTTCTGTTGATATCTGGAACGTAAACGAAAGAAATCACATAACCCATCTATGAGGAATCTGCGGATTTCTGGCTCTATTCAGTGGCAAATTTACACGCACATACGACTGGAAGAAGATGTAAGTCAATAGATAAATTTAGCCGTAGTCAAAACAACTGTTCCAAAAATCATTTCCCACAACCAGTGCAGTTATTTTGAGTTGCAGCTTGAAACTGTTATATGAAATCTGGTGAATATAAATAGAGAGATTTCTTCCGAGAGCAAAACAGTTTCTTCCTTGACTTCAGATGAGTAACAATTGAGAGAAAAGAGCAAAACATTTCAAGTGCCTAAAATGATTTTCAATAAACTATTATTATTTCCACTCGTTCAAAAACCACAATTAAAGAAGTTATTGAAGTTTAATAGGGCTTATCTTCAGATTTCACAAAATTGTTTCTCTACATCAAAAATCATGAAAAACCTGGGATATATGGAAAACAGTCAGAATTACACTCTTTTGCCAAGTGTTAAAGATAAAGTTCTTGTTGAGTGCGTTCTATTTAGTGAAATTTCTATTTTTTCGGTTTGTCTAATATTTGTGTGCTTTCAGTAAACCTTTTGTGGCTCACGTCGAAATACCTGACGATATGTTGCTTTCGGAGGAAAAGAGAGAACAGTTTATGTCGTATTTTCCGGAAATAGTTCAGGAACTCGAAGCAACTGCAGCCAAAATCGACTGCATTGAGCGCGGAAAGCACTTGTCAAAGGTATTAAGAGAAAAACATTTGTGAATTATAAAGGATTATCGGGAATTCTTGCAAATAGGTGTTGAACTATGTCGTTCCTGGTGGAAAGAAATATGGAGGAGTTGTTGTTGCTGAAACATACAAGATGTTAGCTCCTGAATCTCAACAAACTCCAGAACATCTAAAACTGGCTTATTACCTGGGATGGTGTTTGGAATTGGTGAGTGATAAATACAAAAGCTTCTATGATATAGTGACAGGAATCAATTTAGCTTTTCGACAGTGTTATAATGGCTGATGACATCATGGACGGTGGAAAAACGAGAAGGAACAAGACTTGTTGGTATCTTTTGGAAGACGTTCAAATGGGCGCAATTAACGATGCTTTTTTGATTGAGACCTGTGTCCATTATCTTCTGAGGACGCATTTCGGTTATCTTGACTGTTTTATGCGACTTCTCGAACTCTTCAACGAAACAGCTTTCATAACTTACTTGGGACAAACTGTGGATGTCAAATGTACTCAAGATATTCTGAACATCACGATGAGAAATTACGAAGACATAGCAATGAATATAAGTTCGTATATCATGAGTTACTTGCCAGTTGTCTTGGGAATGACCTTGGCTGGTTATATAGATCCGGAAATCGTTAAGAAAGCGCGCCCGATTCTCACTGAATTAGGATATTTTTATATAATTGAAAACGACTTCATGGATTGTTTCGGCGATCCGAAGATCACCGGAAAAGTCGGGACAGACATTCAAGAGGGAAAGTGTCGTTGGTTGGCAGTTGCGTGTCTGGAAAATGCGACTCCGGCGCAGAAGGAAATCATGAAAAATCACTACGGGCGAGACACTCCGGAAGACGAAGCCATCATCAAGCAATTGTATTTGGATATGAAATTACCAGAAATCTATGCAGAGTATTCGAAGGAAGTCTTCAATCGCCTGTTGAAGAATGTGGAGGAAAATTCTTATGGAGATTTGAAGAAAGTTTACCTCAAATTAATTGACACTCTTAAATGCTCAACAGCCGCTGGTGGATTATTTCCTTAATAGATGCATATGTGCGTATTTGTCTTTGCATAAAGGATAGCAATTATATTTCATGAAGATTGAAGCAGTTTATATAAATGAATAAAACTTCTTAGAAGATTTTGCTTGAACGACACGTGTCGCAAATATCTGGTGGTCTCAAAGAATTCCACCAATTTCGGTTGGTGATGGTTGGTTTTATGATGCAATAACGTTGCTATAAAAGCTTTCATGATACCGACGCATCCAGATAATAAGGTTATCTGGATGATTAACACTTTATGGGTATCAATGCATGAGAATATAAAGAAGCAATTCTCTCAGATGACCAGTACGGTGTCTGACTTTGGAAAGTGACTTTCATTTGCAGTGAAGTATCTATTGATTTTGGGCGAAGGAAATGTTTTGGAAAAATGTTTTGCCATTTGCTCAGAAACTGAGAACGTGGAATTTACTTAAATTAAGTGCTCCTGTCCAAGCAGTTTCGAATGCAAAATTCTTTTCAACAACTTCAGCTGTGAAAAATCTTGATTATTTGGATGATTATAAAAATAAATACAGACTTTTTCCAAACCTCAAAGACAGAGTTCTTGTCGAGTGAGCATAAATTACAGTAAAATCTATTGAATTTTGTGTGTATAACTATAATATTTGACTTTCTTATATGCTTTTAGTAAACCTAATTTGTCTTACGTCAAAATACCAGAAGACAAGTTGCTTTCTAAAAAGAAACTAGATCAATTCTTGTCTTATTACCCGGAAATTGCGAATGAACTTGAAGCTAAAGCTCTCACAATCGATCATATTGAGCATGGAAAACAGTTGAGAAAGGTAACAAATATTGAAAAATATTATAACACATAGTAATAATTTTTTCAAAGGTTCTAGATTACGTTACCGAAGGAGGAAAGAAGTATGGAGGCATAATCGTTGCAGAAACATACAAGATGTTAACTCCAGATTCCCATCAAACTCCGGAGAACCTGAAGTTGGCTTATTACTTGGGATGGTGTGTAGAACTGGTGAGTATTAGAACCGTTGGAAGAATTATTAAATTTCTATAACGATACACTAAGCTGCTTTTCGTATAGCTTCTTGATAGCATCAACATGGCTGATGACATCATGGACAGTGGAAAAACGAGAAGGAACAAGACTTGTTGGTATCTTTTGGAAGACGTTCAAATGATGGCCATAAACGATGCTTTTTTGATTGAGACCTGTGTCCATTATCTTCTGAGGACGCATTTCGGTCATCTCGACTGTTTCATGCGACTTCTCGAACTCTTCAACGAATCTGCTTTCATAGTATATTTGGGTCAAGTCTTGGACATCAAGTGTGCTCATGAGCTACTAAATATTACAATGAGTAATTATGAAGTCATAGCAATGAATACCAGCTCATACAGTGTAAGTTATTTTCCGGTTGTCCTGGGAATGACTTTGGCTGGTTACACAGATTTAGAAGTAATCAGAAAAGCTCGCCCGATTCTCAGTGAATTGGGGTACTTTTATCTTATTGAGAATGACTTCATGGATTGTTTTGGCGATCCGAAGATCACCGGAAAAGTCGGGACAGACATTCAGCAGGGCAGGTGTCGTTGGTTGGCAATCGCGTGTCTGGAAAATGCGACTCCGGCGCAGAAGGAAATCATGAAAAATCACTACGGACGAGACACTCCGGAGGACGAAGCCATCATCAAGCAGTTGTATTTGGATATGAATTTACCGCAAATCTATGCAGAGTATTCGAAGGAAGTCTTCAATCGCCTGATGAAGAACGTCGAGGAAAATTCTTACGGAGATTTGAAGAAGGTTTACCTCAAATTGATTGACACTCTTAAATGCTCAACAGCCGCTGGTGGGTTGTTTCCTTGACCGGAGAGGAAATAATGTTGTTTCCATGCAACATTTGGGTATAGGTCTATATCTCTTTATATCTCTTTATCTCGTCTAAATAACACTTTCCCCAACACCCTATGTAATAAAATCTTCAATATAATTACTTTTAATGTCACAATATATTTTATGATTTTGTCATCGAAAAAGAGCTGTGTTAAAATTTCGTTGTGACTCTTTGTAGTATTTTGAAAATTCATTTATTTATTATCTCAGTGTTTTGAACTCTCGTAACTTTCTGATTTTATTGACTGATAATAATGTTGTGCAGGATTTCCACCCGCAAAGGTAACCAGAAGGACGAAGAGGCCAGAAGAGCTTCTTTTCCTCGCGGTGTAGCTGGGCGGATGGCACTATGTTTAACCGTCACAACAAAAATTTTTACAAACAATAGCTTCTATACTGCGTCTTTTCCTAATCGCTGTGCGCAACACAAATCGTCTCGAAACGATCAAAAACGGTAACTGACATTCACTATGGAGACACAACATATTACAGAAGCTTGCCGTGAAGGAAAATGTCTATACATAAATAATAGGGACTATAATTATATTAGGGCTTCTTGTATATCCGATTATTTATGTTTAAAGTATTTATTCACGTATAAAATATTACATTCTATATTTCAAAATGATAAATAGTCATAGTCACTAACAAAAGTTACTTATTTTGTACAAACAAAAACAAGTTTATACATAATGTAGTGTATAAAAGTGCAGTAGATCTTGCAATACGAAAAAGCACTCCTGAGGAAGTCAAAATTTTGCATTTTAGAGACCATTTTCTATGGTCTGATTGGTTACAATATCAAATGTACAAGTCAAAATACTTTCTTATAAGTTCTTGCAACTCTAATTACAAACTCTGTGTGTCATATTTACCACTATTCATTTACATTCCAAAACGCTCATTTCTGCACTGGATAGAAGAACAATTGTGAATATAGCTTCCAATGCAGTACAGAAATCAGCCAAAATCCACCAAATTCAACGCTTATGATATAAAGTACTTATCAGACATGAAATCATTCTCTCAGCAAAATGAATTCACGATAAATAAGAGGACATTCTTCTGCTGTTCACGCTTTCTTCTGACACTGGAAATGTACGAAAATAGTAGGAAACTGCGGTAGAAAACTTGATCCTACTGGACAAATTTACGAATTTATGAAGCATCAATATTCCAGAATTTTGCTCTTCCAGTTAAATTAAACAACTATTTTGTGTTGTTTCAAATATTCTAGTTGATCAATTTCTACTTTTCACCACTCATTAAGATTTTTCCTTTCAATTTAAATCCATTTCAAACTGAAAACAATGCTAGGGAAGTTGGGATTCGTGAATTCGAGAGTAAAGTTCTATGTCTGATAGCGTGATAATGAAGGAGGTTCGAATAGGATCATCAAATCCGCCTAGTCTGTCGGGTTGACGCCGGCCAGCGTCTTCTTGATGCGCAGCGCGGTGAGACGCGCGGCGGGGTTCTGGTACCAGCACTCCTTCATCACCTTGGCGATGCTGTGCTGCACGCCGTCGTTGTGCCAGCGCGACGGCACGCGCGGGCGCTGGCGGTCCGTGCACACGACCTTCCGCATCTCCTCGATGGCGGGATCGGGCTGCACCAGGTCGTAGTAGGGCAGCTGGTACTCGTCGTGCACGCCGGCCACGCTGCAGCGCCGCGCGATTTCCCACAGGATCAGGCCGAAGGCGTACACGTCGGCGCGCTTGAAGGCGTCAAACTGCGTGGGATTGATGGTGTCCTCGAGCACCTCGGGCGCCATGTAGCGCTTCGTGCCCACGCGATGCGTAGCCGGAATGTCCACGGTGTCGTTCTTCACGTCATGGCGCACGGCCAGGCCCAGGTCGCCGATGGCGCAGCTCAGGTTGGCCTTCACCAACACATTCTTGGTCTTGAGGTCGCGGTGCGCAATCGCGGGCTTCCCGCGTGTTCCCACGATGTCCATGTGCAGGTGTGCCAGGCCCGTGGCGATGGACAGCGCCATCGTGAGCATCGTGTGCGTGTCCACGCAGTGCAGCGTGAGGAAGTCAAATAGCGAGCCATTCTCGTGGTAATCTGTGACCAGCCACAGCTGCGTCCACGTGCCGTTGTCCTTGTTGTCCGCCGCGATGAAGCCTAGGATGTTCTCGTGGCGCAGCATCACCGTCTGGTAGATCTCCGCCTCGCGGAACCACGAGCACTCCTCACGCGACGAGAATATCTTCACGGCCACGTTCTCACCGCGCCAGCGGCCCTGGTACACCTCGCCAAAGCGCCCCTTGCCGATGATCTCCACCAACTGAATCTGGCGCGCAATGGAGCGCTGCACAAGCAGCGGCAGTCCGGCCGAGCCCGAGCCGGACGTCGTCAGCTCGATTATGTCCTGAAGCGTGTGCCCGTGCAGGATGCGGTCGCGCTCGGAGTCGTCAATGGCGAAGGAGCGCATGCTGCTGTAGCGCTTCCGGCGCCGCAACAGGACATACAGGAGGGAGCCGATGCAGCAGAGGAGGAAGACAGCGGCCACGATGTAGACGGCAATGTGCCAGTTGATCTCCAACGTGTCCTCGGCGACTCTCTCCCTCACGGTCTCCGCCATGGTTTCGTTGTTGCACAGGTCCGTGTCGCAGCACTTCACGCTGTACTCCCTCTGCTTCGCCTTGGACGAGAGGCACTGGATTGGCAGTTGTCGGTCCAGGTGGTTCGGCTCCTCCAGGCAGCCGTACGTGAGAATCTCGCGACCGTTCCTCAGCTCCACGGAAGTGAAGCACATGGGGCCCAATTCGCACGTGCTGCGCGAGCAGTGATTACAGTAGCACTTTATCGTTGGCTTATCAGTCGGAGCGCCGCCGAGGCCGTCGAAGACTCTTCTCCGGATGATGGTTTTCGCCGGAAAGTCATTGACCTCCAATTGACTGAGTACTGAGGCAGGAATTGCGCTACTAACAGTCAAAATGACCACAATCAGCACACTACTCGATATTTGTCTCAAGAAACCCATAATGCTTTGGCACAAATGCTGAAAATGCCACTATTTCTGCTCCATTGAAGGAATCTTGTGCGCTTCACAATGCATTCATTCCTTGGCTCAGAAATGTTCTTATAACATAAGAAGGAGGACGTGAAACTGAGAATTAAAATTGATACAACCAAAAAGACCCGCAAACTCTCAAATATCTCGCAAAATTACTCGAGAAAGTATCAAAACACAAAAGGAATTTTTACTAAACGTCAAAACATAAACACTGAGTGATTTTTTGCACTATATTGCCGAATGCATCCGAAAAGCCGACAGACGATTCGTGTCTCGAATAAGTGAAACACAGATGAAACATAAATTTTCTACTATCCAAAAAGAATGCGAAAAGTGAATGATTTCGTCAATTATATCAGAATTTTGTTATGAGAAAAGTCTTCATTTTCTCTCCTGAGTGTCCTTTACGTATTTGACCCATAAAATATATTATGGATGATTTGCCGGTATTTTCATAATGTTTCATCCATGCTGAACTTAATCGCGACATAATCCGCCTTTCGGGAGGCTTTTTGGATGCATTTACTCAAGGTGTGGATGAAAAAAAAGAATCTTTTTTGCGTTCTTGACATGCTTTTGGGAAGATTTTCCTTAATATTTCACCTCCAAACAGCTCAAGAGTCTTCGAGGTGGACAAAAAAGCACTGTTATAGGTGTAAAAAAGTATAAAAATTAGGGAGCGCCCGGGATTGAACCGGGGACCTCTCGATCTGCAGTCGAATGCTCTACGACTGAGCTACACCCCCAGCTGTTGGCAAATCTACCAATTCACCACACTTTCTCCACGTCAATCGCTTTCATGCGTGAAAACTCGCACTTTTCCTGGAAAAATTCCCACCATCCACTCATTATCTGACTCAAATCTGCCCAAAGAAACACTCAAATATGCATTTAACATCAACATGACTCTTCTGACTCTCTATTTGCTCCCATTTACAGTGACTTTCACTTAAACTCGCTCTCAGAGACGTAATATTCGTTCGAGTTCAAGAGGAAGATGAATTCGCCGATCTCTGTTTGATAGCCGCGAGAGACAATTTTCCATCCCATCAGGATTATGTGGCGCATGAGTTTGTCGAAGTTCTCCTCAATTTTGACCAACTTATCGTATCGCGGATGAATTAAATCTGATGTGCTTCTCTTCCACGGCTCATTCTTCAGGATACTATAAAAGAAAAAGCAGCAAAAATAGATCTTTTAGATTAAGCCTTTTATGAAAAACACTGATTTCCCACCGGTTGAAGCGAATGATGAGCTTGAAAACATCGTGAATGGCACTGTAGAATTGCGCGCTGTGCTTGTTCAGCATGCAGATGAATCTGATGCGCTTGATGTAGTTCGTGTGCTTCCTGTACAGATCCGTCATGCTCTGCGCGTCCTTCAGATCCTGCATCAGGTGCTGCCAGGACGCCTGCAGAGCGCTCGTGTTGATGTGATTCTGCAGCGTGAGCACAAAGTGACTGAACTTGTGCCGCATGACTTGAATATGACGGAAGTGCGGTGAAGATTTCGCTCTCTTTTGCCTCCTCGAGAGATCCTTGAGATGCTGAAAGACATTCTCGAGAATCCACCCCATTCGGCGCACCTTGAGCAAATACTGAAAGATACTGTCATACTGCTGAACAGTCTCCGGACTCAGGATGAGATTTACTGGCCACTCCACGCGATAAGTCAGCTTTAGATCGTCCAGCGCGTCCGGCGAGAGGAAATCGAACTTCTCGGGAATCGTGCTGACGATGAAAGACAACCGGTCGCTGTTCTTGTCACCGCCGGCCACGCTGACGCCGAAACTCGTGTCCAGAATGGCGTGCAGCGTGTGGAAGTTGAGCAACTCCGCCGGTCGGGCGCCTCTCTCCAGACGCTCGATCAGGCCATTACAAATGTGACTGCCGAACTCGCCGTCCATCAGGAGGAAGTAGTTTCTCAGGCTCTGCCAGTGGCCCAGGATGTCCAGATCCTCGAGGAAGATCTTCATGATCTCACCATTGAGTATCGCCATGTGGCATTCCAGAGGAATGACCACGGACAGCCTCAGGAACTCCTTCATGGACACCGCATTGAGTCTCGACAGATCATCGCTGGCAATCTCCGGAGGCTTGTCCTGGTAGCTGGTGAGGATTGACGTCCTGTACTGCATGATATCCTCGAGGAAGTCCATCTCCTCCACCTGAATCTTCACTTCCTCCACATCAACGGCCTCACTTTCATCTACCAGTGACGCAATTTCCTCCGGAATCTCCTCTTCTGCAGGCAATTCCTTCACCTCCTCCTCAGGCGTCGAGAATTTCTCCCCAGCAGATGCCGAAGCGAAGCTCTCTGTGCAGTCTGACGTTGTGCTCATGGGTGTGAGTTTCTCCTTCGTCGGAATGGCGATGTCAAACTCCGATTCCAGAATCTTCCGGCGATTCCTCATTCTCTCCGTCTCAAAGCACAGACTCAAGCTGTTCCTGTTGGCCTCCGCATGCTCATCAGTGTTGGAATTGAGGTCTTTGTAGAGAATCCTGCGGCGATTCCTCTCCAGCTCCGTCATGGTCTCCTCTTGGATCGCCCTGCTCAGCTGCGTGTCCATTGGCACATCAATATTGAACTCATGACTCATCACCTTCAGCTTATTTCTCTGGCAAGGCGTCATTTGATCCTCGGGCAAGTTCACATTCAACTTTCGGTTGTCACAGTTCTCGTAATCACTGAAATTTGTCGATCCAAGCACTCTGGCTCGATTCCTGGCCAATTCGGACATGGTTTCATTGGCATTGAGGATGTCCGAGTCGGATTTCTTCATGCCACTTTGATAGTTCTCATTGCAAACTCGCGCCAACTTCTTCTCAGCCAATTCATTCAACTCCCGATACTCCTGAATCCTCTTCAACTGCTCCTCATTCACACGCTTCAGCTCTTCCTCCTCGACCAGGCGCTGTTGCTCCAGATGAATCAGTTCCTGGGCTACTTCCTGCCTCTTCCTCGCTTCTTTCTCCTCCTTCACGGCGTCCATTTGCCTCTTGAGCTCTCGCAATTGCTCCTGCTTTGCTCGAATCGCCTCACGCTTGGCCTCCATGCGCTCAATCTCCCATAATTGGAGGTTCTCGAGTCTCTTCTCTTCAACCAGTCGCTTCAGTGTCTCCATCTTCTCCGTCTTTCTGCGATGGATCTCTTCGACAGTGATTCTGGGCCCACACACAGCCGAAGCCATGGCTGAGTAGCTCTCCACATTCCTCCTGAGCGCAGAGACTTGCGAATCCGAGAGACACACACAAAGACTGGGCTTCGGAACGCTGAAGAGCGGATGTAGTGGCTTGAAAGCCTTCAGGAGCATCGCGTACTTTCCACACAGCACAATCATTTCGCCGAAATCCTGCAGAAAGTCCGGAATGAGATCCTTCTGTACACCGTAGGCTTTATCGAAGAACCTCTTCGTGTCATATTCGTATTGTTCGTAGAAGAATATGAAGAGTTCCCCGTGCGGATCCTGGAGCTTCCCATCGAAAATCCACTGTTCCAGGTGCGCCAAGTAGAATTCCATGCACTTCACCACGATATTGCTCAGCATGAGGAAGATCTCACTCCGCATAGTTGTGCTGGCCTCAGACAGAAGATATTTCAGCAACTGCGCGCCGGATGGCAAAGCCTTCGGCGGTTCTCTGGTGTTCGGATTGACGTGACAAATCCTCGCCAGTGCTGTCACTTGATCGGCAATCTTTTCTATCTTGCACGAGAACGCCAGGAGGGATTGCTTTTGCTCCAGCGACAATAACAGACGCACATGTGACAAATACTGGTCCACGCTCATACTGAAGGCGTGAAAGATAAATCCCTCGTGCATGGCTGGCGAGCCGGAAGCGACCAGGAGCAGAAGGCGTTTCATGCAGGTACCAAATTCGAGGAATGGCTGAATATACTGACGCAGAGTGTTCACAGTGAGATTCTCCACTCTCAGACGCTTCTGCGGGCGGAACTCCAACCGATTCTCACGAAAGATGAAGCTATCAGATCTGTAGCCCATGCAAAGCGCCCGCAGATCGCAAAGGAAATCGTCCAGGGCGAGGATCTCTCCCGTTCTCTCACTCCTCGGGCAGCTGAGAATACTATTGGGCACTACTATACTATTGGGTATTGACAATTTCTCCTCCTGAGTGACTTCTTTGGGAATTGCCGAGAATTTGGGCTTCAGGATGTCTTCCAATGGTCTCCGGAAGAATGCCTCAGTTTCTAAGAATGACTGCGTGAAGATACCACCACCCAATTTCGCGTTGAATCCCTTCAGGTACGGACTGTTCTTCGGCAACATCACATCCAGGAGATCCGGGAAATTAAACATCTCTCTTGGATTCACTTTGCAGTAGGGATTTGTCTCGTGGGCGCTCTGGAGGGCGGAAAACAGCCCGAAAGGATAGTTTGGCTGCAAAATCAAGGCACATCAATGACAAACACTCTGCTCAAGGACATCGTGGCACTCACCAGAAGAGCCATGAAGGTGTCAGGATGCTCTGTGGCCCTCAAGTGGTGGAGAAATGTCAGGATTGCCTTTCCATCCTCGCTCTCGAAATATTCATCCTTCTCAATGCCCTCAAGGCACTTCTCCAACTCGTCATTCCTTCGCCGGTGAAACATCGTAGTGGCCTTCATTCGCATGTCGAAAAGGTGGACGTCCAAGTCCCGGACAGGATCAGTGGCAATCGAGGGACTTCCGGATGATTTCAACAAAATTTCGAAAGCCTTCGCGCGGCATCGCCGAAACGATATGATTTTTCCTGTTTTCCTAGCGCTCTTATCAATAATGCTATGGCACAGGTCGCTTATTAACTGGAAAACACTCGCCTCACTCATTTTCACGCCTTTTCCGCACTGTTTGCCTAGGAAAAATCCAAAAAATACGCATGAGATTTAAAACTTCTGCGCTCGTTTTGACAGCCCGGAGTTTACTGGGACTTGACTGCAGCGCCACTGGTACCAGTGGAACCAGTGGAACCAATTCAATTTAAATTTCTCTCTCTCTGGGCAAAAAATGTGGCGATAATCTGGGCAATAAACTGGTGATAAGAAGATGAGCAAGTGCATTCCTCTCTTTTTATATGCGTCCGATAATGCTATTAGCGAGCGCCAATACTCGGCTTAATCACGTCAATTTCCCTTTAATTGTTCCGCGCTCTTCTACACTGTTAGAAATTATTTGACAAATTTCTATTCATCTCTATTTACTGTTCCTTGACTTTTCGTTATTTCCATCTTTCTTTAGTTTCCAAATTAATTCCAATCTATAAAATCTCATATATTTCAACTGATAATGCACGTCAGCAGAATTGCTATTTTCTTCGTCACTTTTCCAACCTTTCCAACACTCTTCTCATTCTGCTTTAAGGAATTTGATTCCCCGAACTTCCCTTGAAGAATTCTGTTGCTTTTTCTTCAACATACAGTAATATTCTCAAGATAGATTTGCACAAATAACGCCGAATAGAAGAATATGGCATGTTAAAACAAAGATGAAGTAGAAGGTATAATAAAGATCATGATGTACAAAATATAATAAACTAATATATTGTCGCTGAACTCTTGACTATTTAACATCTCTCGAGTCCAGTTTCTCATCCCCAATCGAAGCTCGAGCGCTGTTCGCGCGCAGTTGCCATGGAATCTATGCGAAATGATGACTCTGAGATCACCATCGATCACCGTTATTGAGCATCTGGTGATTCCCTGCGTGAGAAATGTCTCCGCGATCTCGACTGTGGGAGAAAAAGTGGCTGCTGATGATGAAAATTGTTCGCGCAGGAGAAAAACTCGCGCACTGGCTGAGGCACTTTGAAATTCAAAGTGATGTGCAGCATTCCCGATCTCCCCGATTCTGGGCACGCACACACTCGGGAAGAATAATTCTCTCTCTCTGGCGATCTCGACTCTTGTCGCTTTTCCCCCGCGCGCGCGCGCGCGCGATCTTTTTGCATCGCACTTCGCTGATCCTGAGCGACAGAGTGTCTGTCGCGATTCCGCGAGTGCACGCATTTTTGTGCCGTGCAATGCGTGCGTCATTTGAAGTCCAGCCAAAAAATCCCTCTGATTCCACAAAGAGCCACAAGATGCGGTTAGCCAAAAAAGCTGCCTCCACTGGACTTTGCGGAGTCGTGCCAAGAAAAATTTCAAATTAATTAATAAATGTCCGCCTCGAGTGCAATTTGGAGTCCATCGCCAAACTCACGCGGGAGCAGAAGACACACACACATCTCATCGCAGAATCGTGTTCTGCATCGAAACAATGACATTATGGGTGAATCTCGGATGCCGTGTCGTCTTGCTTAACGATCAATTGCCGATCAGTTCGTCCCGCGCGCACAAAAATGCATGAAAGTATGCGAAACTCTTGGCGATTTACTATCCATTTTGCCTAAAGGTTGCGCGATCTTTCGCGCAAAATTGCCTCTCGCTTCACCCGAACGATATGATCACATTGCGACGATTGCTCGAATATTTCGCGAAACTTTCAATCCCTTAAGCGCATCTCCTTCGCATGTCCATCTTCTGGTGCGTCAGCCCACGAAGGATGGAATTCAGCAATGACGAAAGACAACTCCCTGAGACAATTATTATTACGAATTATTTATTTGACTTGGTCAATTCTCTCTGCGATCTCTCCCTTTTTTCCAGCCAGACTCCCGAGCATCTTCTGATGGATTCCTCTCAAATACTTGTCATCTTCATGAATTTTTATTTACGTTCCCGCGTATTAATTCACCATGAGTAGACATCGTAAAAATTTACCCTGCAGGAGACGATGTCCAGTGCGGAATTTCGAGTAGAGATCATGTGACATCAGCGGATTGAGATTTATTGGAAGATGGCAAGTTGAAGCTTCTGGGATAGAAAGAGTGATTTCTCCGGAGAATTATCACATAATTTCCAATAATTTCTTACTTGTCTCTTCAATATGATTGTAATTGATAGGAATGCCTCTGTCAATGCAAAATTTCCTGCAGTTTCTAGCCGAGTATAAGGAGTATCATTGTTATGATCCGGAGAACACAAAACTGGCCAATTATTTCCGAAAAAACGGATTACAAACAAATTCAACTATAAACCGCAGAATTTTTCTAGAACTCTTACTCCAAATCTATTGTTCTCTCATTTCTTCATGGATTATTCAATTAGAGAAAGTGAGATAGAGAATTACTATAGCATAAAATGACTAAATGAGATTATTATTATTAAGATTCCAGAAATTGAGGAATCGATCATGTAACAGTCAAATATCCCAAGATCTGTGATTCTCCAGCATCAATTTATGTGTCTTCCAAAACAATTTGCGGGCGAACGAGTTCGAAAGGTCAAAGATCTCTCCACTACCGGATCGCATCGTGCAATGAATAACGCATAAAGCCTCCAATCTGCGACAAGGATTGGAATGTCTGATATTTTCGCGATATTTCGGCGGTGATTTGATGCTTATTTCTCCAAAGATATCATTGCGTCCATTTTTCTATAGCAATTTTTTTTGCCACCTTCCTAGACCAGCTATTGCGGCATTGCTGATGCGCGCTGTCAAGCTGCGTGACGATCTCTCGCGGGAAAACGTGAAGATTGCGCGCATTGGAAAAAGTGGCAGCAATTGAAATTCAAAGTAGGAAGTTGCAGTTGAGAATCCCAGCCACAAGTCACCGTTGAAGACTTGCTGGCGACATAATTTGTTGATTTCATTCCCACATTTGGTCGCATCATCGCGAAATGCCATGACCATGCTTGGAGAAGCGCACGGGAATGCCTGACCATCTCCCATGGGGTATATCCCAAGTCCAGGCTGTGTGCGGTGAATGATAAATTGCTATCTGGACGGATCTCTGATTTTCTTGTCATCGCGCAATCTGCAATCGCGTTTTGAGCTCACGCCAAGCTGGATCATCAAAGGCGTAAAAAAAGGAGTGGAGGGAAAAAATTGAGCAATTTTATTAAAATTCACTGCGCTCAAATGCTAATGAAAGAGCGGATATCGTAAAAGTAATGTGAGAGAGGCGAAATTGAAAAGAAAAGAATATTTGAGCGGAAGAGGAAGCATATTGAGGCACGTGTGAAATGGTCAATACAGTAGGATTTTCGTTTGCTGATCACGATCATGGTTTTTTTTTCATTTTAGAGATTTTCAGACAGAATGAAAAATCGGCAAGAACCTCCAAATTGCCAAATTGTGGTCATAGTCTTGCAACATCGCGCTTTATTGATCTTCAGGCTCGCCTACGATCGTGGCGGTGATATTTTGGTCATTGCGAAGAAATAACTGAAAAAAGACGCGTAAATGGCGATAAAGGTTTCCACTTTGTATATCGAAGTCTTCTCGGTCATCAGATATGATCCCACTTCAGCGAATGTGGCACATGCGAGACGGCTTCCGGACGAAAACAGAAGCTGTGTCTGGTGGAAATAGAGGAAAAAGGCGGAAAAATTGTGAAATAGGAACGCATCGCCCACACCGTCTCGCGATGGTTGGCAAAATTTCGGGACAAAAGCGCGACGGGTGACAAAAGATCCGAAATGCGATCTAATAATAGGTCACCGGCCCAGTGAACGAATGCAAAACATTGGCACGCACGAGATCGCCGCTCTTCGGCCACGTGGATTTCCCAATCTTAGCCATCGGTCGGCATTATGCAAGATGATGTGTGCGCGCTGCAAAGCCCAAAAAGTGGGACTTGGGTGAAGTCGCGATCGCAGAGCGCGCACTCATTAGTCCGATCGGCCGAAGAAGGTGGGATTTGTGATCACCTAATAAGGCCTATGTGGCCATATATGGTATCGGCTGGTCTAAATATGGCATTTGGGCAGTCCCCAAGAGCGAACGCACACTGTGCGAGCGAGACGGCGGCGAAATCCGCACGATCACCCACAGGAATCCACAGGGACCCCTGATCTCTCCTGCAAAGGTCTTATTTTTAGAAAATGCTCATATTGAGCCTGTGCCGATCAGCACAGTGCGAGGATTTCGGTGGGGAAAAGCACGGAGATCATTTTAAAAAAAGCTCAGTCGGTATCATAGGAGCGATCGTGGCCGGAAAAATGCGAGGAAAGCGATGAAAATCCGCGAGGATCTGCACAAAGGTCGGGTTACAGTCAGGCAATCAGCTAGTTGTCTCAGTCGAGCGAGAGCGATCGACTGAATGGGACGATCTGATTGGCCGCCAGACTGTTCATCTCACTCGGCGATGATCGCATCTCGCGAAAAGTGTCTCTCTCTCACTCGCTGAGCACTCGCTCACCCTCTCGACTGCGCGAGATGCCGTGTGGCGGGAGATTTTGTCAATTCGCAGCGCTCAGCTGTGACAGGCAGACGTTTTTGGTGTTTCCGCTGTTTCTCTGGCAGTGACGTTTCACGTCAAACAGGCAGTCTCTCCCGTTTGCGACCGTGCAGCTGGTATTTTCGCGTCTCTCACGCGAATTGCGGGTCACGCGGAGTGCTTCCCCAATGCAAAGTGTCTCAGTGGCTGGTTGTTGAATGGATTAAGTGTGTTGTTGGTAGTGCTCCAGAGAAGACAACAGAGAGAGAGAGAGAGGAAGTAAACTCAGCTGACGAAGGTGTCTTGAGAAGGGAATCTGTCAAGGATGGATCCAACCGGCGGCCGCGATTCGCGGTACAACCTCAACTACAGCATGAGTATGTTGGGCGACAGTGGTGAAATCTATGGGAATCCGAATGTGAGCCTCGCGAGGCCCCCCAGTGGCGGAGCCCTGGGCCAAGTGATGAGTCGCAGTGGTGGCCTAATCAACTCAAATGCACAGTGTGGGTCCCTCACGCGTGGCCTGAAACGAACTAATTCCGAGTGCTTCGACGAGCGCGCCATGGGGTCCCAGACCATGGGCATGGACGGCTGTCCGGGCGCCGTGCAGGACGTCGTGGACGAGGGCTTCACGTCGCTGCAGCAGAAGAAGTCACCGCCGAGCAATGGCAAGAAGACGAAGGGACGCGTCAAGATCAAGATGGAGTACATTGACAACAAATTGAGGCGCTACACGACATTTTCCAAGAGGAAAACGGGCATCATGAAGAAGGTAGTGTGCAATTTTTCCATCCCGGACTAACATATGACATAACCTGCAAAGTGTGTCCACCTTCACGCACACACGCGCGCGCGCAGTCACGGCGCATGACGGCACTATATCCGTGTCACTCTGCCGCACATCGCACGCGTATTCGCTGTCTCGCTCGCGCGGCCACGTGCAACAGTGTTGGTGAAGTTGCGGAAAACAAGAAACTTGCCCAAGACTTTAACGCCTACAACACACAATCTTTTTCATTCACACAGCGCGATGACGGAGAAAAAGATTAATTCAATTTGATATTTAGCATTTAATTCAGGCGATGCCCACGTTGGTAATTAAGTCACTTGGCTAATTAGTTGCACGCCCACGCAAGCATTGCCCAAGGATGAAAAGCTCAGCAGCGCGGCAAGTTGAAGTTCAAGGAAGGCGCGCACGATGGCGATGTTTTGAAAACATCAATGAATCCCATGGTTGCAGTCTTATCTCAATCCTTATCGCGCCGTTGGGGTTTAGGATCTGGGCATAAGCCGTGCTGAGCACATTTCTGTATTTTCATTGGGAATAAATATGTGCACAGGTGTTTTTTTTAAATTCTTTTTGTCATTCTCAGTGAAGCTTCTTTGTTGCATCACAATTTTTAAGAAAGTGGCGTAAAATATTTGGCAAACTTAAATGACTTGAGCGTCTTCGTAGTTTATATGGTAAAGTTGTTATATCTGAATATATTCTTCCAATTAAGAGGAGGATGCAAAAGAATATAATCCGTGATTTTCAGCAAAATAATTAAGTTATAAATAAGTCTAATGAAAAACCTTGACTGAAACATTGTTATATTTCGTACTCAACACCAACGAATCGCTCTGTAATGATTAAATTTGGAGTTAAAATGTGTGTAAAATTGTATCTGTAAGGCCAAATAAAACTACAGGCCAATCTTATCTCTCGCTGAAGCTTATCACTTTGCAGAATACTGAACTTTCTCTTGGCCATACCTTTGTGACTCGATAAGAAGTTTGGCTTCATCAGTTCGGTGATAAATGAAACTCCGGGGCTTGTTTTGAATGTACACATAATTAGGATTAAGATGAATAGACGATGTGTACAATCCCTGTGGGCCTTATTGACTGAATGGACGGATTCCGAAGGGTAAATGGTGGGCAGGTGAAATGTGATATTGACCGTGGTGATCGAAGGGATGATACGGGAATGTCAGTGCGTAATTCAATAGTCGATTGTGTGCGGTTGGTTTTTGCTGCGTATGTAAATTCCTCACGCCTTCTGCCGCCTAAATCCAACAAAAGACACCTCTAATTGTTGAGGAGACCCTCAAGAGTGCCGTGAGATGTGAATAGAGCGAGAGAGAGAAGGAACGGAGATGGGAGAGAGAAGAGGCCCCGTGACTTGAAGATGTGAATCTTTCGACACTTTTCTTTTAGCACTTTCCCAATGGGAGCTCTTTTTGGCGTAGGCCACATGGTGACATTGGTGGTCATTTCCTGGCCACTGCCATTCAGCCACATGACACCAAATCCGTCTATCTGGTCATTTTCCTGATAAAGATGCAAATGTGCAGATTTGTTGACACATGAATCAGTGCGGTGGCAGCAAATGACGCGATTCAAGAACCATTTGCGATGCGTCAAGTGCGGGACGCGACGGTTTTTCTCTCATCTGACCCGCGGCGGCGCCTGTCAATGGCTTTTTATTATTATTTTGTGTACACACATTATTACATGCTTCTCAGTTTCTTTCGCTCTTTTTCTCCCTCGAGTCGTACCTTCTTATGTTGGCCAATCTTGCCACAGAGCGTTCATCTGACAGTCGCGCTGACTCGGCTGGTTTTTCGGGATTTTTAATACATATGTGGATCTTGGGAAATTTCTTGGTGGGAAATATTGCGTAAATTTCGGCTGGCTTGAAAATGTGTTATTCTAACAGTTTTGGAGACTTTTTGGGTGTTTGACAGGTGTCAAATTTTGAACATATAACATATAGTCAGTCAATGTTTCATTAATTTCACCGAAATGTTGCAATCTCTTGTCCAGTCTCTCAATACTTGAATGCGTAGTCAAGAGGAATAATCTGTGCCTTTATCCATTCGGTATCGATGATCTTACATATGTCCATTAAGTCATATGTAAAGAAGTACAATGGGAAATCATATGTGTGGCTCTTTTGACGCTCAATCAACATTTTTTATCTTTCTCCATTTCACTGAGCTGGTATTGTGGGAGAGATTTTTTCGATTTGCTGGCTATTAATTGGTTTCTTGCGGTTTTTTTCCCTCCTAAATCATGTCGATCAACTGTGATCTCTTTTTTGGGAAACGCAGCGTTTTTTTTTCATCTCCTGTGATCCTAAAATGTGTGGTTGATCAAAAGAAGCATATAGAAGAGGAAACAATGAGATTTGTAAAGAGAATGTGTGGAGAGAAATATGGAAATGTGAAACATATGGTCAGAAAATGGGGTAAAATCATGATCAATTGTGCCATGATCAACAATCAATGGGGAGTTGAGAGGAAATGTAAATGATCAAGATTGGATTTCAGCATATTGGAGACTTTTGACGTTCTCCTTTTGGGCGCAAGCAAGAGGAGACTGTCAGCGCCACCGTGAAGTTAGGAGCGATCCTTTTCGCGATGCCATGAATGAATTCACATGACTTGGCAATTATTCACGATGAGTCCTCGTCTCGAGTCATCGCGAGATAGTTAACATATTACAAAATAAATGTACAGCGTGCACAATGTAAGTTACCAGCTCAGCTGGAGTTTATATATTCACCGGTATATTGATGTGACATGCCGTGAGCTTCTCGATTGTGCATTGGGAGAAAGAAGAGAGAAATGTGGAGAACATGATCATGATGAGAATGATGCTCTCTGACTACAATTGATACAGTGCTGAAGATCGAGTAATTCAGATGTTTGAAAATGAGGCGCGATGGCAGCATTTTGATAAAATGCCTCGCCAATAATATCGTTGACTCACGTGGTGAGGGTTCTTCTGGTTCTTCTGTTAGTATTATTGGAAAATTATGCAAAGTCAATTGATGAGAATTTCTCCCCGTGAAGCATTTGCCTGAGAATGTTGTGCGGAAATTATGTGAAAAAGACTACTAAATTGCTCTATCAATTGCTTTCTGTCAATTGAAAAGGCTTCTGAATGCACCAAAATGGGCCATATTTGTCCATAGAGACAAAAGAGTTTCCTTTGTAGAGAATTTCATGGGAAATAATCGTGAGATTCTGGAGTGTTCTTTGGGATTTTCCTATATTGCTTCTAACAAATTGAGTCTAAGTTTTTCGACAGAAATTTGATAAAATTTGCTTGAATTTGAAGCTTTAAGTTTTGCAACATTGTTGATTCAGTCATGCATGAAATTTATACAGAATTCCTTTGGGATTTTCAAGAATTGTCCGATTTTTTCTAGGAATTCTTCCCAAATACTCATATGGGATTTGTATTGGAAATCGTATCTCTTCCCTCATAAATCTCTGAATTTGTTGCTAAATGAAATAATGATTATTATTTACTGATAATTATGATTAAAGTCTTTACAAGGTGAGATAAAGTGTCTATAATAATTATCACCATTATTATTCTTCGACAATTTTTCGTTAGTATCAATGCTTAATTAGTATTATCTTTCTCTTTTGTGAAATTGATCTAACAATATTTACGGCTTCAGTGCGCATTTGCCTATAGGTGGACTGTGCTTCATGACTTATAAATCAATTGGAAATAACATTTACAATACATTATATATTGCGAAATTGTTGGTGATGCTGGAAAATTTATTTATACAATTCAATGTGAGGTTGCACGCAGTCAAATCTGGGTTCTTTGGAGTTCATGTGCAGCTATTGATTTTCTCAGGAAAGTGTCTCAAGACGTATCACACAAATTGGCGCGATAATGCTGAGGAATTGAGTTAGTCCTGGAAGCATTTCTGCACTGCAGGCGACATAATCGATTTCCCATGTTCATGTCGCGATGATGGCAAGAGACACTTATTAAATACCTTAAGCGCTGGCTGAGTGTGATAGTGGAGGAAATTTCCGGGTGTCGATTTATCGATGCTCGACAGTTTGGTTAATGAGGTCGGATGTGAGCAGCGCACATCTGCAAAGAAATTCCACCTTTGTGAGTTTATTGAAAATTGTCTAGGTGCTCAACCGCAATTGTTATTCAATCAATGTTACTTCATCTCTTGTATCCCGTCGTGTGTAAATGAGAGCAGCGCGCAAAGCTCGCTTAGAGGAGAATTGAATATCACAAATTGTGTGCGGCTGAAAAGGAATGGTATGAATTTTTTGGCGGCAGAGGGTCAAATTGCTCATATTGAGGAGATTTCACGTGTGCGTAGGAATTCTGAGGTGTTTTCGGGACAGAATTTATGATTATACATTCATCATTTACTTGTTCATGCGAAGCTCAGTGAAAAATCATGTGCTGCAGAGAATTTACGCCGGCATTTTCCTTCCATTAGCGCAATTGAAAATTTATAGCAGAATCCATGCGTATTGACACTTTGACTGGCGTGAGATGTCTCTGAGGAATTCCACCCAAATGCATGAGAGTCATTGGCAGGTGGAAAATCCTCTATATAGTGGGAAAAATTGTGTTGATTTGTGAGGCTTTTGCGCTATGAAAATATATGCTCAGTAAACAGAAAAAATGGCATTTGCAATGTTGCAAGCGGAAAGGAAACATACAAACACATTTAATATTTCAATTGAAAGAGGACTTTTCATCTTGCAAAGTGATGTTTTCTCTTCTAAAGTCCTTTGCCAATGCTTTCTGAGGGATTTTTCAGCTGAAATACTTGACAATATGCAATTAGTTGATGCTAAAATACCCTTGTTTTTGCCTCTTTTTGGTATAGTTTTGTTTCTGCAATGCCTTTCGAAGAGAAAACACTTTCACGCTGAACACTTGCGATGATATCATCATGATTGGTCCTGATTAATTGTATACCTTTAAAGACAAATTAATTCAACACCTCCTTTCATGTTTTTGTCTTTGCAATACGGCAACAATAAATAAAGCAAGTTGAATTGTTGCTTCCTTATCAATACGAATTGAAACACTTGAGCACAATCCGAATAGATAAACAAGTCTCAGTGTCTATCGCAAGATCTCCTTTCGTTGCCTGTGGCGGATGTTTTTCTTTTGGTGAGTTTTCTCGGTGAGAATGGAGTGAAAAATCATAGACGGGAGGCGAACAACACCCACCCAATCGATGACAACCTCAATCAGACGCCGTGCGGGGCGTCGAGGTGATAAAACTTCGGTCTCAATCAATTTGGACAAGATTCTTTTTGGCGGGTGGGGAGGAGAAGGGACGCGCTTCGAAAGTGAAACACTCTCGTCGGCGGATTTAATGCTGCGTCGGACAAATATAGAAAATAGGGAGAGCGAGAAAATGCGAAGAAGATGGATTTAATTGGGACGCTTTGCGGGCTCGAGAGACGCATTGGCAATTTGTATCTCTCTTCTTATTTATAAAGCCCTGGCATCGCGGCACCGTGACTTCCTCATTGGGTCGAGCGTCGATTTTTCGCCAAATATCACCCGACACACCCCAAAGAATCCCGCCGCACACAAGCAGCAACAGAGACTCAATTAAATATGCGTCCTTTTGAGATACACGCACCGAGAACTTTGTGCCCATTTCACGGATTTGCTGTGCAAGAGAGAATCTTTTTATATTTAGCCCACCCAACGCATCCCAATGCTTCTCTTATGCAAGATGTGATTGTCTTTATTGTCTTGGCAGCCTCGCAATCCCATCTGAGAAGGTGAGAAAAAGGTGCAGAGAAGAAAATGTACAAGACGCAGTGTTGTCGTGGTGAGAAAAGAAAGGGGATGGGATTCTACTTGATTCAATTTTCTCCCATTTGTCAGCAAAAGGTGGGGAAAAACAGCAAAACTTTTCCTCTACTGTTTGTGGAAAAACGTTCTCGAGCCGGTGAAATTCAATAATACCTCTTCTTATCATCCCTATAAAGAGCATTTTTAACTTCACACACGTGTAAAATTTTTTATTTTACGTCGTGAAACAATGTGTGGATTAAGTAATTTTTTACCGAATCTCTTTGTCGAAAGAGAAAATCAATTTTATCCCTTGTGAATGAAGTGAATAAAGGTGCACAAATTGGCAGAAAACAAATTTCCCATGCAAATGGACAAGTTAATTACACAGTATCAATCCAATAAAATTCGTCGAAAACACTGGAATCCAATTAAGCTTGCATTGCCACATAATTCTGGATATTTTCCCATATCGAAGGACGAATTGTGCACACGGAAAAAGTCATACGAAGGGTGGAATAATTCAATTATCTTCTTGGTGTACTTTTCACATGCTTCAGTTTTGTCCCCAATACTGTCTGAAAAATTATCCGTTTTGTTTCGTGTTTTGCATTTTGCCCAGAGGGAATTGCGGGGAGTGAAAATGCTTTGCACTGAGGGAAAATATTGATTGCTGGATGAATTGGATATTAATCAGATGATTTGCTTGCGAAGTCTCAACGCCAAGACAAATCGTAGATGGATGTAACGAGTCATTTAAATGTTTGGCCTGTTGAGACAAGAGAAAAAACAGTTTCTCCATATTATTTATTCACTTTAATAACATTCATTTAACCTACGCAATGTTGAACTTCACATTATTTAAACAAGCTTAATCCACATTCACGATAAATTGTTGAATATTGTTATTTTGACTCGTATTTCATGACAATCCCCACTTGAGTACTCATTTTTAGTGATTTAGCCCACTTCAGACGTCGCGCTGACGTCAGCTTGATGACTGTTGAGGTTATGATAATCTAAACTTGATATAGGAATATCTAAACACTGGATAAATCGCTGATGATTTAGAAGAAATATATATCATTGCAAAGTCATCGAATTTATGATTTTTTTTTAGTTTGATAAAATGAATATAGGTCTTGAAATCTTGATATTTCGATTCGTGTCTCGGATATATCAAGATTTTCTTAATCTTGTCTTTTAACTCATACCTATTTCAACCGCCGCAGCCATGCAGAGTGATTCTGAAACTGTCACGTTCGTGTCCATTGCAGGCGTACGAGCTTTCGACACTGACGGGAACGCAGGTGATGCTTCTGGTGGCGTCGGAAACAGGCCACGTGTACACGTTCGCCACGCGCAAGCTGCAGCCCATGATCACATCGGAGGCGGGCAAGGCGCTGATCCAGACGTGCCTGAACTCGCCGGACCCGCCAAGCAGCACGGGCGCCGGTGACCAGCGCATGTCCGCCACGGGCTTCGAGGAGACGGAGCTGAGCTACAACATCGGCGATGAGGACTCCAAAGTAAGACAGTTAGTTTATGGTCATGGCCACCACGGGCACGCTCACCTGGGCCACCCGCAGGCGGGTCACTACGGCCTGGAGCAGGGCCTGATGCAGCAGCCGTTCGGCGGCGGCGGGGGCGGCGGACAGGCGTCGCCGCTCTCGCACGCGCCGCCGTACGCTCCGCACTCGGGCCACACGCATCACGGCCACGTGCCGCACCCGCACGCCACGCACATGGGTCACGCCCACGCGCAGCGGTAGTGCGGCGGCCCGGATGAGCGCTGCCGCGTCCCCTTGTGTCATTATTGCAGTTCGATCACTTGATGAGATCTCATGGAATTTCTCAGTAAAGCACACGCACAGACAGTGTTTTAGGGTTAATTTGGACGAAGAAGTATTTTGTTGCGACAGAAGCATTCACTCATTTCAATGGATTCTTTTGAGAAAAGATTGACAATTTTATTTAAAATGATTTTTACGATATTATAATTTTGAGAATTAGTTGTTTAGCGATTTAGCAGAGATATTTTCTTTCTTATCACTTAAGCAATGTGAGATTTGTCGAAGACACTGATTTATTACATATTATTCATATAGATTTTGTAGATAGTGTATTTTTTTTGAGTGTGTTGTACATAGAAAGACCAAATAACATTCCATCCATGATTCTATCGTTGCCATATATTTTACATAAACATCGAATGGGAAAATAAAGTGCGCATACAAAAGTTTAAAATTGAGAGACAATGGGAAAATTCACATTTGCTCCTAAAGTGGAAAATTCAACAAGTGCAGCATAAGTGCATCAATCAAATTTGCCTCTCGAGATTGTTTGCCCATGTTGAAAATAACTCAGTAGAAATTGAATTTGTTCCCAAGTGAGAAAATTTACTGAGTGGAAAAATAGAGCAGACTTATTGGGAAATTCAGGCGGGAAAGCATTCGTTCTGCTGCCAATAATTTACAGATCGTGCCTGCACATAATAAATCATATTCAGACAATTTCAGCGCTCAAAGCGCCCAATTTTATCAGTTTATCAAAACAATTTCATCACTGGCCGATTAGAAAAAAAGCACTCGCGAGCCTTTGAATCGCGCGTAATATTTGTTCTCTCAATTTCACGAGACATGCGTGAAGTGAAAATCTGTGGGGTGTTTGAAAAGGAAGCAATCTTTCAAGAATAGACTCGAAAGTGTTGAGTTTTTGACCAAATGACGTTGAAAACACACCGCTGTGTGTCTATATTTGTGAATTGTGCAAAAGTTGGATGAAAATTCCATTTTGAAAGCAAATTCCAAAAATAAAATCCCATCATTCGAATGTTGTTTACACACCAAGCAAACTTTTAGTGGAATTACTTCCATTTACATGTTGTATTACTCATCCAAATGTAGGGATTCTTCTCAATTTCAATGTGTCCTATGTGCAGATCATCGTGAAAATGCAGAAAAGAGCTGTGTGGGATGTTTATTATGCACGTCAGACATTACAATTTTCAAGTGCATGACGCATTCAGCGAAAGAGAAAAGAGTCTCAATTGGTAGGGAAATGTGTAGAATGCAAAGTGAATTACAAATTGCTTTGGTATATTAATTGAGAAGTGATCAACAATTATTTCAGTTATGTAGTGAAGTGCGTCCTGTGCGCAATGCAATAAATGCCCTTTCTTTCGGCTCATGCGTTCGCCACCCAGAAAACACTGAGAATTTATATGGCGTAAAATCAAATTGGATATTTTGGGTCAGTCTTTGGAGTTGTCTTCAAAATCCTCGCAATTAGAGCACTTCATTTCGCATGTTCTTCATTCTTGTCTTCCGCGCACTGTTTCGTTAGAATTGAAGCGTCGAATGCTCTCATTAGTCGTGTCCTATAGATTTTCGTAGTATTCGTCCTTAGTGATGTTTTATTCCAGATTTAAAATACTCGTTGTTTTAGAAAAACGAAGAGATTTGTTGAAGCATTTTGAAAGAATGTTTTAAATCACTGCGCCCAGGTAGTTGTTCCCCAATTTTGTCTTATGACACAATGGGATTTTCTAATGAGATTCTGATGGATTGTCCGCAGAAATGTCTTGAGATATTCCAAAGTCAAATGTTTAAATCTGTTATCAGTTTTTCAAAAGTGTCTAGCGGGTTTTTTTTAAGTATTTGCTAAACCTTCTGGACATTTATCACTTCTTTGTGGCTCTCTTTCGCCCACTTGAAGCGTAAAATACTAAATTGTGTGCAATAGCTTTCGACCCACAGTGTTTTTTTCCATTGGAAGAGTCTTTCCTATAAACACAAATATCATCACATAAGAAGGTGTTTTTTTGGCACCATCTCCGACTTCATTTCAATAATTGGTTAACTGAAGGTGCCTTGAATGAGCTTTGTGGTGTGGAAAGTGAGTGGAGGAAGAGGAGAAGAATGGTTGAACAAATGGGGGTGGAATTTGGGCGGTGAGAGTGAAGGAATTTTTTAGCATAAATCAGAAGCAATAATTGACACGATAATTGACGATTGCAGCGCCTCTTCTTTGTCCATCTTCATGGCAATTTGTGAATGAGGTGAAAACTACCACCCACTTGTCCATTTCATCTCCTCCTCTTCTAATTAAATTGTCCAATATTCACTGGCGGTGTCGAGACTTTTACACATAATCCAGCAATCATGGTGATGATGAAAATTTCATTATTAAAAAAAAACCCACAGTGACCAAAATTGGTGAATAGAGCGATGGACAGAGAGAGAAAAAATTGATGCTAGATTTTTCTTTGACAAGATCCCCCACCCCGCCCAAAAATACCCTTGTATGGTGCGTTAGTGCTTGGATGGGTATTTTTTCAGAAAAGGAGGAAAATTGCATGATTAACATTAAAACTACAATTTATCGAGTGATGCTAAAAACTTTCATCAGACATGGCAAAAAATATATGAAGAATCCACCCACATTTTGTGGTCGTTTGGCGCCAAATCCACTCGGTTGGTCATCAATTAGCATCCAAACAAATACAGCGTCGAAGAGAGACGATCTCTTCTCCACCTCCAGAGTGCGTTTCTTTTTTCTCTATCGCAATTTGAGAAAGACAACAAATTATTTTAATTGTAATTTTTTTATTTACACAAAACATCTTGTTTTTGGTTAGGATTTGTAGTTTGTATGAGAAGATATTAGATTGTTAGTGTATAAAATTAGGACAAATTTTACTCTCTAGCCTGTAATTGACACTCGCACGCGCAAAGGGTGTTTTTCTCTATCAAGGGCGCTATTCTTGAGTCTCTCCAGAGTGAGACGTTGGAGACTTTCTTAACATGTGTTAGTGACAGTGGAGTTTCATGAATAGAGAAGAACACTCGCAAGTGTGAGTAAAAAATGTACATTTCTAGTCAAAATGTATGAATTGTAGAATATGAGAAGAAAAATCTCTGAGTATAAATTATAAAATAGAGCAAAAAAAAACTGTAGCACGTGAAAATGCGAAAAATTTAAGCAATAAAATGATGTAGAAATTGAAGAAAAAAAGGAACAAGAGAAGCAGAATGCGAGAATGCAATGCATAAATCTTCCTCTTTTGCTATCGCCAGAGAGTGTTTCCCCAAAGGAGATGCACAAAACACACAAACACACACTTACTGACGATCGTGATCCAACACACGATGAAAATGAAGAGCTGCGAGGATGAAAGAGATTTTATCGCTCATGCGAAAAGTGGCACAGAATTGAACTTCCGATTGCCAATGTGACGGCGTGTGCCAAAAATTGCACACTGCAACTATGTTCTCAAGTGTGTGAGCGCGCGGATTTGCAACTGAAAAATTATGTGTCATTGACACGATCACGAATGATTCATGGTGACACGCGGGAAGGCAATTAAATTTCACGAGGATTGAACTCAATTAGACGCATGCTTGTGAGCACATCTTCTCCTCAATAAAATCCAGGGAATTTCATGGAAGGCAAGCGAGCACACAGCCCAAAAATAGCAGAAATTGAGAAAGAGCGCGTCTTTGGCACGCGTCACCTTTTTACGATATGTTCTCTTCCTTTTGCCTTCTGTGTTTGCTCGCATGCAATTTCTCCCTGACGCTGATGATCATCAATTTTGTGCCACTGTTTCTCACAGAGAGTGTATTCGAGATGAAGAGTGACAAAGAAAAAAGCCTGATTTGTGTGGAGTTTTCTTTTCATTTCCTTTTTGGCTTCCTTGCTGAGGTGAAGTGAGTGTGAATAAAATGACATTCCTTCCTTATTTATCAAAATTGATTTTATTGTACGATTGTTGTGGTGATCTGCAAATATCTTGGTGGAAATAAAAGACAGCCCAAGAGAGAGAATTTATTGAGACATAAAGATATTGCTACAATATTTCAGTAGTTTGTTTTATTATCACACAAATTTTCCAACTGCAACATAAGACAATCAATTAAATGCCAAGATAAATGATCACATGGAGGCAATTACTTGCCATTACAGCTCTCAACTGTCACACCATTTTCTCATCACTTTCTCAAGTTCTGCTGACAATTATCTCTTTTTTGCTGCTAAATATACAAAATGCATTGACTATAGTTTACAGACTTTGGAGACTTTTGGTCTCCAAACACACTCGTTTCCTTCTCTGGGTTTTTGTGAAAAATCGCCCCCTAAATCGATCCACAAGGAAGTGTGTTTTTGGGGGTAAATTACAGCCATAAATCACAGCCTGCGCATTTTCCGCAAGTGGCGCAAGTTATTATTTGAAAAAGAAAAATGCCCCTCGACAATTAATTCTCAAACGATCTGCTCGTGGTGGCTTTTTCGCAGCATAAAATTGCTTTTTCCACATCTTCACTCACACTTTCAATTCTATTTTGGTGATTTTACTGAATTTTTGGTCTCATTTGTTGTGTCGTGAGAGACGAAAGAGGAAATGCTCTAAATTTTGATGGTTATGATCGTTTGCGCGCACACCCTGAAAGTTCCAACACTTCCTTGTGGAAAAATGAAACACACTAGAAATATTTGTATTTTATTAAGGAGTTTGAAGATAAAGAAT